ATTAGATCTCTGATGGATATAAATACCATTTTGGGGAGATAATTTTTGCACCTCTAATATAAAGTTTTGCTCTTTCTCTTGAGAAATATCTCATTCTTCCTGCAAAATGTTCACCTGATAAGCAGATGCAGTCTGTCCCACATAGTAACTTTACACAAACCACATTCAGGCTTTCTTCTAGCCTCTTGTACCAGAGATATGTTCCTTGAATTGATGCCTGTCCTTTTTATTCAGACATTACAAAGTATAGCTTGAGGAAGCTAGATCTGTTTCTGCTGATTTCAGTCTACCTTATAGGTCTTTTCTCAGCTCCCTTAAGATAACAAACAGGAACGTGACATTTTACTACCATGGGTCAGCTGCTATCCGACATAGGAACAGTGGGGGCTGAAACCCTGGTCTGCTTTATAAATATTGATTTTTGCAGAAACTGAGATGGAAGTGAAATTAGTATGCTGAATTAGAAGGAAATGTGAAACTTTTTGGTGTCTATTCTTTCTTTTTGTGTGTGTTTATTGTTTTTATTTTTTTTTAATTGGCAATTCTTTTTAAATTGTCTATACTTATTTATCCATACTGATTGTTATAGTGGTTTATCACCATATTTATATTGATACATCACATAATCCTAAATTATCATTTGGTTTTCTGTGTTGCTACTTTCTGAACAACTTTTATTTGTTTTCTTGGCTGAACTGCAGACTGTCTCCACCCTCTTTCCTTCTGCAACTGATCAAATTCTGCAAAGAATTCTCCACTTTGGATAGACTATCGCTTCCCACCCATGCTGTTCTCACTGAGGTTGGAAATGGTATTAATTTTATTTAGTGTGGCGAAAAACTTGGCTAACCCTTCAAAACCATCTTTCAAGTCCTGTAATTCAATGAAGTCTTTATTTACAATAGTAATAGCTATTTCTCCCAGTGCTGTCCAAACTGAGTTTTCTCCAGTTACAAGAGAATGAAGCACTGTTTTCCATTTGCACGGCAAAATGGTTCTACTTTATTTTTCAGTTTGAGGAAAAAGCAGCATAACCTTGTTTTGAAGGTTTTATAGGAAAAAAAGCAGCTGTTACTTTCCATATTGTGCTATCTTTTAATGGCTTTTGGGCCAGGCACCGAGGGAGGAAGGTAGGCAGCCATATACAAGCTGATGAGTGTAAAACTGTTATTCTGAAACTTGGATTTTCCACTTCTTTCCAGTCCTAATCCTTGATCTTGCAGACTAGCACATGAGCACTGAATTTTAATTCTGACCCTTGATTAAAGTGGTTTGTTTTGTCTTGGACTCAAATTATCTAAGTACAAGATAATAATCTTGTATGAGGATATGGATAAAAACACTTCTCAAGAATTGTCACTTCAGATGTATACAGTGCCCCTGCCACTGGGCTGGTTTTATTGAGGTCTCAGTTGAGTATGCCTAAAGCTGTGCAAATATGAATGATGATTTCCTTGCACAAACACAAAAAATGTGAGTGGAGCAGTATGGACTATATAAATAAAACCTTCAGAAAGCTGTACAGCACTTAGGCACTGGCTTTCTTCCCTTAGGACCCACCAAAGAGCAACTGGGAGGAGGTGAGAAACTCTAGATTTGAAAAGAAATGTAATCTGGGGAAGACTTGCAACTTAACATTGTCTTTGACAGTTTCATGGCAATTGTTGGTTTCACTTGACCATACCAGCAATATAATTGCATCTTACCTATTCCCTCAACCAAAAGGAAAAATTCAAAGATGAAAGGTAGTTTTTCTTTCCTGTGGTAGTTGTGTTTTTCAAAGCACTGTGAACAGGTTTGGAAGTGGCTATATTAAATTATTTCAGTCATGGTTTAAGAGAAGTAGAGAAATGGTTCTTTGAAGAGTTTGGTTTATTTAGAAGTTAAATAATGGGTCTCCAAATAGGCTATAGCAGAGATCAGATCAATGCAAAAGGTACAGAAAAGTCAACCCCATCCTATGCCAGGACAGCTGGATGTTTGTTGTTCATGTGTTAAGTCTTTGGTTAGTCTTATGGTCTATATTTTTAAATTTTTAAGCAGTTAGTGGACCAATCCCTAGACACCTAGGTAACTTGTTTATTTTCCATGTTTTGGTCTGCTGGTAGTGAGTGGCTTGATCTTATTCAACATGAATAAATGTAATGAAAACACTGCATTTCAGTCTGTGAGCTGAGGCATTTGGCTTTTCAAAGCTAAGAGCCAAGAGTGAGATTATATGTGAAAGGTTTGCAGGATCAATTATTAAAAGGCAATACGCTAGAGAAGTTTTTTTGCTGATTAAGTGCAGAACCAGTGAGAAATGAGGGCATCCTGGGAATTTCAAGTGCAGCAGACAACAACTCCTTGCAGACAGTTGACTCAAGAGGCACACAGTCTGAAAAAGGAATTGACAGAAGACAGTGTCAGGGAAATCAATAATAGGATGTAGCCTTTATAGCCAACTAGTTCAAATGCATGACTGGTCTACCATGACCAGTGTGTTTCTCGATGTAAATTAAGTAGACGGAACCATAGGTAACAGGAGTTGGATGCTGTCCCTGCACCTAACTAGATGCTCTTGGTGGCAGTGGGAAGGAGGCTGTGCAATACCCTGCTGCTCTACCTTTTGCTGTTTGTATCCACCTTGTCAGCTGTAAAGGTCCTCTAACAATCACAGTGCCCTGCTTGGGAAAAATGTCTGAAAAAGCAATGAAATCAGGAAGGAGCTGCAAGCTCCATCATACTGTTTTTGTAATCACTGTTAAACTATAGGTTAATCTAGTTCAAGTGTAATAAACCTTGAATAATAAAAAAAAAAAGCATAAAATATGTACTTAAATTCTTCCCCAGCATAAGTATTTTGATGTGAGACTGCACCTAAAAAATGTCATTTATAGGGGTTTTGTCTTCTGCTGAAAGAGTTCTGGCTCCTGATGGCAGCAACAGATATGCCAACTCCTGCTAATAATTGCATGAGTAAAGACAAAGGAAATAAATAGGAATTTCCTGGAGAAGGATATTACGAAGAAGTAGGGACACCAGAAAAACTTCCTAGGTGAAGGTGGTTGTGTTGTTGGTACTTGAATACTTTCAATAGAGAGACGTCTTAGAGAAGACACACATAGTAAAAAAACAGTGCCTGTGAAAGGTTGCACAATCCAGTTGCTCTAGAAAGACAAAGCAGGACTGCTGTACATCCATCCTCTCTGTGTGCACAGATAGTGAATGTGGATGTGTGAAGTGGTGGACAAAGCATAAGAAGATTGTAAGGACAATGAAGTTCGACAGGCAAGAATGAAAGGAAGATTCGTCTAATAATTGCTTAATCATTTCTCTCTCATTAACAGAAATAAACAGCTCAGAAAATGGTCATAGTTAACTTACAGCAATTAACATTGATGCAGTACCTTCTAAGTCAGTGCACAGTCAGTGTTTTCAGCACACACTTAGGTAAGGGCTTTGAATTAATGTTTGACATGAACCTGAATCTACAGCAGAAATTTCCAAATATCCTTTTTCCTTAGTGGGCTGCTTGTTTTGGAGTGTTTTAGAAGGATAGCAATTCAACGCTTCACATACTTCTGTCCTGAAACAGCTTGTTGAATTTGTTTCCAACTGCTTGGCCAAATGGTCCCCGAAATACTTCCACTGATTTTGCATAGTCTACAAATGCTGATCACAAATCAGAGCCTCATTTTGTGAGGAGCTGAATTCACATCAAGACTTGAGCACAAAGGTCTGGACTCCCAGGCACCCGAAAGTCAGGCGTTGCAATTTTCAGTATTTTTAAGTTCCCTTTCCTGCCCACCATAGCACTTTGGGAGTGTTATGGGGAATGTAATAACTCCACCTGTACTCTCTCAGTGCTTCAAGGCACTGGTGAAATTGGACTGAACTTCACTCTGGTTTAGAGCTGCAAGCACTGGCAGCAGCCAACTGCCGTTTTGTCTCTTCGCCTCTGGCAGCAGTGTGCTGCTGGGTTGTGGCCATGTGTAGCATGTGCCACCTCCACAACCTGCACACCCACTGCCTGGAAAGGGAAGGGTTTTGTGTCGGAGAGACAGGAAAAAATGGTGAATCTGGAGTTTCATCTGTACTGACAAAGTTGGGGGAGCATGGACCTGTCTGCCACGCCAGTGATGGGAAGGCTCCACCAGCACAGCTCAGTTTCCTAGAGATCCCAGAAGACTATTTGATCATTTATTTTGACTCTCCCATATAAAGCAGATTATGTTTCTCACAGTCTCTGTGGGGAGGGTTAGATCACCACTTGAGTTAGAATTTTATGATGTATTTGTTCTCTGTCTTGGAGGTTAAGATTTTGTACACTATCAGCAGAAAGCAGAGGGTGCTGAGGGGCCACTGACACCTGGAAAAGTATACCTGGTCAGTTCCCAAGCAGCCTGGAGCCTGTATTCCATCGGGGCTGTATTCCAGAGGAGAGGAACCACAGAAGGACCCTCTGCTCCTGTCCTGTCCTGTCCCCATTGCACAGCCATTCTGCTTCTGGAAATGTGGCACTGCCATTGCTAACGCTCTCTGAGGGCAATAAAGAACATATTTACATGGGGGTTTTTGTATCTATTGCTTCAATCTTTTCTCTTGATGATCTTTTCTAGCTGTATGATCTGAATATCTCTGGTTCTCTGCTACAAGGACTTGTGCCAAGAGAAGACCCGAACGAAGTAACCAGTCTCCACTGCACCTCAGTCACAAAGACCCATGTCCCTTGGTGCTGCCTTAAAGGATCCTTGCAGGTGACTCAACCACCACAAAAAATGCATCCCTTTCTTACTGCCCCTGCCTACCCAAGTGTGTGCCATTAAATCACAGGCTCTACAGCAGGTCTAGATCATGCTCCACAGCTAAGCAGTAAGTAACTAAAGCTTCAAGTGTTCCACTAGCAGAGTGTCACCCAAGCATAATCCAGGCCCTGACTCAAATTGACAAGGACAGGTTGGCCTCTGAAATAATCTCTTTAAATAGCAGCAGCCGTCTCTCTCAAAGGCACTTCCCTCCCCCAGTCAGTGCCGGATTGCTGCTTACAGCACGTTGCCCACTGTTTCCCACCCAGGCATTGCAGGGCTGGCACTTCTCACAGGCAAGTGTGTTCCCTGCCCGCAGTCTCCCAGCTTTGCTTTGCACCAGGAATTACAATGAATTTTGCAGCACAGTTTCTCTACTCCAGGGTGTTAAAAAACAGAACTCCCAGGGACCACTCCAGGGAAGATGAAGACTACGATCCTTTCTGGCAAAGGTTGGAGAATATTGCTGTCTGACTTAGAGCTAGAGCTCTCCTTTCTCCCCCTCAGGGGTCATGGTCAGCCCTCAGGGTCCACCCAGGGCCAGGCCCACGGACATGACAACCCCTGGACCCCTCCTGCCTCCTTATGGTGTCGTAGTTGGAGTTTTGCTTCACCTCGTTGTTTATTTAGTCGCTGTGCTGTATAGGTAATGATTTCTTTTTCCATTCCTTACTTTCTAAAAAAAAAAAGGAAATTGTTTGTAATTTCTGACTATCTCCCAGGGTTCTGTGGGTATGAGTTGCTCTTGGAGTCATCCCCTAGAAGCAAAGGAAATTTGAATAATTTAAGCTTGTGGAGCTTAGCTTTTTTATTTCTTCAAGAGTACGGTATTAGAAATAATGCTAGACAGGCTAATGGACTGCTGAAAATTTATCTTGGGATAGCCTGTGTCAGATCCTGTTATTACAGATGTTCTGCGGTTGTCTTTGTTATGGAGGGTATGGTCTTGAATTCCTGTTTTCAGTGTTGGATGGTGCAGACGGAATTTAGAAGACATCTAGTGCCCTTGTGTAGAAGCAGCTGGGGGGTGTGCACCCATATGGCACAGTCATGTCTGCACAACGTCACTTTTAACCTTTTCCATAGTTGTTTTCTCCTCCAATTTTATTACCTGGACACCACTAGCAAGATCACAACTCGGTCTTGTCAGAGGTGGTATAAACAAGGGGCAATTCTAACTTCCTGCATCCTGCAAATAGTCATGGATGTTGGTAATATTTAAAACAAATTGTTTCAGTGGGCTCAGTGCTGTTAATAAACCCTCATGAATCACCAAAGGGGAAGACAAGATCTCAGTTCTGCATTGAAAAAATGGCTTACCCGAAGTCACACATGATGTGACATGTTCTGCAGCGAACTGAGAATCTTAAACAACTCCTTTCATCACTGGACCACTCTTTCATCTAGTTTGGGTTATGCTATTTGTTTGTTAAGTAAATTATGAAGATGTGTTAATAATCAGAGAACCTCTAAACACAGAGCACATTTAACTTAGAGGAAAAAATCTCATTATTTGAAGAGTTTTAACTGCCAAACTGTGTGCAGTGTTTGATAGTAATCATTTGACATTCACAGCTGTGAATGTCCTGGAAGAACTGCTTAGAGGGATGGGTTTGTTTGAGGGACACTTAGAAGCTACTGAAGCAGAGATAACTAAGAGGGGTGGCCTTCTGAGCTCTTCTTGCTTTCAGATTACTTTTTCTCCTTTTATCTGTTTAGCAGCTGACAAGCAGTTGCCATTGCCAGCAGTAAGCAGTGACATTTCCATAGTGGGTACTGAAAACTGGCAATGGATTATGACTACAGATAAAGGCAGATATAGTACTAGGCTCAGGCTCTGGTAAATCTGACTTACTGAAAGTAAGGAGATATTTTATCAGGAGTGATAATGCAGCTTGGTTGTTCCCTGCATGAGCCTGAGCTTTCTTTGCATTTGTTGGTTGTGTATCATCACCAAGTTTTGTCAAACCTGTATATGGTGAGTAGAGTTATAAATTCCTGCTCAATCTCAAGGCTCAGTTATTCTGTACCTATCTCTGTGGGATGGTCACAGTGCAGAAATCCCCTGACATTTGTGTCATACAGGCTAGTGACTAAGCCCTGATCTCTTCGTCTTTAAGACACTCTGATAAGTAGCCCTGCTACAAACGTCCTGTGGGAGCCTTAGGCAAGTCACTTGATCTGTCTGCGCCCCAGTTTCTATCAATAAAGCTGAGCTCGTATTTACTGGCTTTGGCTTTCTGTTTAGGGGAAGACGTTGGTGATTCTTATGTGATTTAGAAACAATAACTTTGCTTAGGGGTTTGGGTATCTAAATGTCAAAGATGCATTTTAAATTTCCATCCTGTAATTGACACTATTTGGAGCGATACAGTCTCAGATAGGTGTTTCTAAGTACTAGTGTTATACAAAATAATGGTAACTCAAGAAAGTAGTGTTTGAGTGCAGTATTGTCTTTGTCAGTGATATTGTCAGAGAAATCTAGTGTGTTCTTTCCCCGTGCCTGGAAGAGTTTACTTGTACAGTGTGATAATCTAGAATTACTGTCAGTGAAGATGACATGTTATGATGCTTCTTGCCATTTGTATCTCAGCAAGCTTCAATTTTTCTATCATTTCTCTTTCATAAAGACTCGCTTGCACAAGCTGCTGAGATGCTCTTAAGAATTGCTGTTATTGCAGCATTTGGATGTGTTTGGGGAAGGCAGGAAAAAGTAGAAGAGGGGTTGGGATGGAACAGGAATGTTTAGGAACTGTTGGGAAAGGGGATTGCAACAAACAGGGTAGGTATCAAGAGGGGTGTGGGAGGCTCAGACATCTGTAAGGGTCAGAGGACACCAGGGCTAGGGACATGGAATAACAGGGATTAATGGAGTTGTGGATGTTCTGGGTAAAAGAGGGATTTGGACGAGGGAAAGCGCCCTCTCTGTCATATCCTGGGATTACATCTTTCCCACTCAGAGGAGATCCCAGCCCTAGTCTCATTCTCCCAGCACATGACCCATCTCTGCTCAAGACTTTAAGGAATCAGGCAGAAGTGACTTTAAAGGGGTCACTTTTCACTGTAATAAATATTCCAAACTTGCAGGCATAAGATCTGAGCCCATTTATCCAGAAAGCAGATTGCAAGTATGTATAAAACTGCATTTTACCGATGTCTTTAGCTCAGTGTGCTCCAGGAAAGTGTTCAGGGAGCCTGGAGATGATGACAGCATGTAAATATGTGCTTAAGAAACCTCTACCCTCAAAACATTAAAAAATAATTAAATAAAAATCCACATATAGAGAACATGTGCATATGTGTGTATGTGTGCTGATGATTTAATTATAGGCTCGCCCCAATTCATTGGGATGTTTTGAAGTGCTATTCAAGCTTAACACTTTGCCAGTTTGCACTGTGCCACTGCTCAGTCCAAATTAGGCACTGGAGCTTGAAATTCTTGTCATGGGGTAGACCAGTAAGGATGCTAAAGTACTCTACAGAACTTGTACCATACTGTCAGTCCTTCTTTATGGTGACTGCGTATCATTGTGAATGCAGATGATAAAAACTGCTGTAGAAATGACAGAAATGCTGGGTTTTCAGTCTTGTACTAAAATTTCTTTGCCTTTTGTGACACTTGAATTTCTGTCTGTGAAGCAGCACAGTAACATGGGAATGTATGTCCATAATTACAACTTCATTTCTGCCTCAAAACGCATTGTTATGACTCACTTTGTAAGAGGTCTTAAAGCTGCCAAATGTGCCAGATGCTGACATTGGGTACATCTGCAAATCAAAATGGCAACACTGGGTGAGACCAAAGAGCTGTCTACCTCTGCGTCTTCTCTGTAGGGGTGGCCTATAACAGGAGCTTGGAGAAAAATAAAAGCCACCTAAGATGCTATCTCACATATATTTTCGTGGAGTCTGCCAAGTAAGTGATAAGGGCCTTCCTGAATCTCACATTGCTTCTTGAGTGATGTGTTTATTGATTGCTATTAGACCTACTTCCATATAGTTGCACAGTTTTTTAGGAACACATTTATCGCTTTGCTCTTCATAGAGTCATGTGGCAATGAGTTCTGTGAGCTAATTATTTTCTATAAGAAGGGAATGTTTAAATTTTCTGTCTGATACTTTCATATGGTATCTCCCTAACAATTATACTGGGAGAAAGAGCAACTAATCTCCCCAGTTTTCTATTTCCTGGACATCTGTGACTTTGTAGATTTTTTGCTCCTTCAGTTTCAGAAGCTGAAGAGATCCAGTATACCAGTTTAATCTGTTTAGTCCGTTTCATGGATCCTCAGGAAGGCAGTCTGCATGTGCTTCATCTGATGGGGACATGTAATTGTCCCATCATCGCAGGGTAACTGCATAGGCATTTCTTTCTCCTTATAGTGAAGTCAATAGTTGTGGTCTTTAGGTATATTATGCACTGTTACTGCGTTTTATCTTTTCAAAATTATCTTTGTTGGGTTTATAAATTTCATAGTTTATTAATGTTAGTGGTTTTCCAAGCTTGTTTTCCCCAGTGCTATTTAGCTTGATGAAAATTATAAGCATATTCAAGAAAACAAATTGGAAACAGAGGAATTATTCATTCCAAGTTGTTGCTTTTTATCATTCTAAGAGTGCATTTCAGCACACTCTATCTTTGCATTGACTTTGAGACTTTAAACTGTGTAAAGCTATCTGCTTAAACAAATGATATTTTTTCCAGTTCCATAATTATTCATGGAATGTCTGCATACAGATCTTCTCTTTTATTTTTTTTCAGTTATGCTGAGCAGTTCTTCTTGAAAAAGTAGGTTTATAAACTGTATTTGCATGTTTGCTTTTACTAATCGTTTTAAAGGTAAAATGTAGTTTATAACCATGTAACAAAGCTTGCCAGCTGGATATTTGTTTTATGACTGGAAATAAACAGGCTTTTTTAATGAAAACTTTCCTAGACATAGTCCAAAAAAGGAAAAGTGATCCATCTGAGAGGAGCGATGTTTTATAATGTTTGGGTTTGTATTTATATTGGCTCAGATTTTCATCTGGTGGGCATGATCACTAGATTAGGGGCCATATTTTGTTACTGTTCATGAGACATCACGTGCATTCTTTTTGTGAGCACTTGCATGTTTTGCTGTCTGCCTTGACTGTTCCTGCAGAAGAAATTCATACTGAGGTGGTCTACACCAAGAATACAAACTGTGTTTAAGGAGACAAATGCATCTGAACCATCAGGGTTATTAGTTGCCTGTTTGTGATGGATTATCAAACCTCAACCTACTGTTTACCTTGAGAGCTTGAGAGCTCTCAGTGGGTCTGTGGTGCACCCAGGAGGGTTCAACAGGGAAAATGTCATTCACTAATGTAAATGAAAAATATGTACATAGAAGGAGGGTGAAGATTCATCTGAAATAAATATATACAATGCACACATATACAATAGCATGATGATATTCCTTTGGTAATGAGTCTGTTGACCTTGTAGATGTAAATGGATGATAGTTTCCATATTAAATGTTGAGATGGTAATGTTTCAGATCTGCTTTAAATCTATCTCAAGCTTGAAAAGCCTACATGTATTTTACAGCTGTTTGACTTTTGTTCTTTTTTTCCAATGGTCATAAGGTGGTGTCTCCGCCAGGGTCCTGAGCAGACAACAACAGTGTTGTTCATGAGAGCAGTGCTGTAGATCAAGGACTGGGAATCTGATTTACTTCCCTCCTTTGTTCTGCCAAAAAAAAGGAAATCCAAGACTAGGGCCAAAAATCAGTATCTCATTTTGGTCTCTCTTTGTAGATAAAAATGTTTTATGGCACTAGCATGGTGAGGCATTACCCTGTGCTTTGTACTTTCTAGCAGAATCCTACTTCATCAATGGAATTTTTGTGGTCATCTTTGGCTGGGTGTTTTTTATGGTCTTTTTGTAGTTGATTGAAACAGATGCAAGAAAAAACTGTGAATTTATCTCCTATTTCAAATGCCAGTCAGTAAAAAAAATTTGACCTAGAAAAATCAAAAATTTTTGAGCTACCTATATATTTTACCCTACATATACTCTTTTAACCCATTGCCAGTGTAAGAAATGTCATTCGTTGCTAATGCTTGCTAAACATTTTAGAGAATACGTTTAGAGAAAAGATGTATATGTTCTTCTCTTTTTGTAATGGTTAGGGGCTACTGTTTTATGGAAAATGTTTTTTGGCGGGGAGGGAGGGAATGAACTCTTAACAGCGGTCTGGCCGCTTAGATGATGATAGCTTTGTTTATGCCAGGGGCTGTGTTGTAACAAGTTCATGGGAAGACAGTCTGATCTGATTCTTATCTTTGCATGAAGTTAACTAATATGCATGAGAACTAACACTGGAACCTTAACATCTTTATGAAGTGTTCCAACCCTGTAACCCCAAAGGAGCAGAGATGAAGAGAAGTATGGAACAAAGCTACTTATTAAGCTGTTTAATTTGAAGGCAGAATGCCTGCTCTTTGGGTGTATCATCTTAAAATATGGTTTTGGAAAAATATTTTAAATCCCAGGTCTCAACACAAATATGTTTTAAATGTGTGAATACTTCATTTATTTATCTTAGAAAGTTAGTGTTAATCTAATTAATTTTGGAGAGAGAAGAACTTGCTACAGAAATTGTATGTTTTTGTGTCCTGTGAAGATATACAGAATGATTGATGCTGCTGGTACGTTACTTGATTGAAATAACAAAACGTTTTATGTTGCCCATATTGTTATGTGAGGTCCTCAGTGGAATAACTGGAAGTGTAATAAGAAGCAGAACCACTGGCAAAGATTATTGGGACTACAAAAAATTGGATGACACTGCCAAAAGTGGGGCAATTGCTCAAAAAGCAGCTGTCCCTAAATATTTTAAAATTCTTTTTGGAAATTATTACAATGCATATTACAGTGCTGATCACTGCTATAAAACTAGGGCAACATTTGCTCTAGCCAGGCCTGCTGATGAATAACTGCATAACTTAAATACAAAGTATTTTATGGAAATAGTAAATATTTTTTGTTGGAGATGATACTGAATTCTCTGACATAATTTAACATATATGTTTTTAGAAGACCCTTTCTTCCAAATAGGTTAATATTGAGTCCTTCATGTAGAGGCTTATACTGTCTGTGTAATTATAGCAACAAACCAGGGGTGGTATCAGCACTTTCCCATATCACCGGTCTTCTGCTTAATGTTCCTTTTTACCGATGTTACTCTCCCAATTCCAAGAATTCCTAGAAGTTTTGCATTCATTTGTTAGTAGGGCTGCAAAATCCTACACTATATTATCCCTTGTGAACTCCTGAACACTGTGGACCACAGATCAAGGCAGTTGAAGGTAGGAAAACTGGTAAATTTTTGTAGCAGTGTTGTCTCTCCAAAGTTTCTTGGGGAAGGTTTGTGTGGCATCACAGTGTCATCTTATCTACAGGTTCTTTTATCTGTGGAGTGTTAACTTGCAGATCAGGAGACCTAGTTCTTTAGCTCTGTAGTAGGATATAATTGTTATCCCTTATCAAAGTCATTTCCTTCCTGTCACGAGGCAGTTTACAACTGTCAAGAGTATGCTCTGCAAGTATGCAAGAGCAGAGAAGTAGATCTCTTCTGTACAACATAACGACATTTGTTACTGCTATTAATAGTATTAGGGAATGCTCTGCAGCAGCTCTTTGCCTGTTTTGAAAAACATGGAGTTGCATATAGCAAATACAATTCCAGTAATTCCAAAATTTCTGGAAGCACTGAATTGGAATCATTGATGATTGAGACTGAGTACTGAGGAAGATCTGGCTGCCCAGGCAGCACAGATTATATCTTTCTTATTTGCTCAGGTATGACAGTTTCCCAGTTTGTCCACATGCCAGGTTATCTGTGGCTTTTCTAAAAGCTGGTTGGTTACAGTATCTTTCAATCCACCTATAAGATAAGGTAATGTGACAGTAATAATTCAATTTGACTATTTGATACTTGCAAAGAGCAGCTGAGGTGTGCATCCTTCTTAAATGCTAAATGTCAAGCCTTTAGTCATCCAAGTTTTCCTAAAAAGTTTCTTTTATTTGTTTCTAGGGATGACAATAAAATAAAGAAACATGATGCCCCAGCACTTTGTGATCTTCACTGTTGTAAGGATGGGCCTATAAGAAACGGCCTTATTGGGCAGAATCCACCCCCTATCAACCCTGAGAGACTGAAAGATTTTGATGAGGAGGACTGCCTGAATGGGGATGTGAAGACATGGGAAATGAAGATAGTGAACCGTAATGAGGAGTTACTTAGGGATGCCCTTTCCCACATCCCTCAGTCAAGCAGTAGGACCAGCCTGTCAAGCTGTAACAAGCTGATTCGATTTGAAGATATTAGTGCAGCAGCTTTCAAAATCCAGTGTGGTGTTCAGAAAACCCCATGCATGGTAAGGAGTTTATATGGCTTTCCATTCTCTCAGTATTTTTTTTCTTTTATTTATAAAAGTTGATCAGAAATTAATGAAGAGTATGTGTGAGTTGCAGCAGATTGATCTGTGTAAGATGACTCATGTTTGTATCAGTTTTCTTCTTACCTCTTTACACTAACCTAAACCCTCAAAGATTGCAGTGATCTCTAAAATAAAGGTAAAACACATTAGGCATAGACTTAATGCCCTGTGGTATTATGTTCCTGGTGAAAAACTCTTGCTATAAGGAACCTGAGTTGGGGACAGTGGACTATCAGCATTTGGGTAAGCGGTCTTGTGGGAGAGCCTGGTTTGGAACCAGCCCTCATATTTGGAGAGTTTGAAGGTACAGATTTTCCTTCCTAGACTGGCCAACCTGGCAAGGCTGGATATGTTCTGTAACCAGGTGGTTCTGCCATGTGTGTCTTCAACTAAATGAGGACATTAAGTTATACACAGACACGTGCACCTATTGATCGGTCTAGGTATGAAAATGACCAAGATATTCCCATAAATGTACAAGCATTTTCTAAACTGTAAGAGAAGTACAGTGGCAAGCTATTCAATTTGTGGTGTATTTCTACTTCTGGGACCTCTTTATGAAGGCTACTGATAGCTACTCCGTGGCTAATCTCCTCCTTTGCCTGCAATGGGTAAAAAGAGCATCTTTGCCAAATGACAATTCATAGCAGCAGCCCCAAATTGCTCTCTCGATGAATCCCTCCCTGTTGCTGACCCAGGGCACCCCACCACCCTCACTGGTTGTGGATTGTCTTTCTGGCCTGCACAGGAAAAAGACCTTTTATGTCTGAGCCACTGCTTGGGGTTAACAATCCCTGGAGCAATGTGGTTGGGAAGAAGTGTGTCTTGTGACAAAGGGCACGATACAAGACCATTTGAGGCTGTAAGGTGGCACAAAAAACTTACAGGGTAGTGCTGTCCGGAGTGCAGGGGGTCAAACTGGATGCATTTTGCATTCATATATTGCCTGTTCAGAGTGGCTTGGGAGTAAACCATCCCGCCAGCCATACCTGGATTTCCTTTCAGGGTGGAAAAGCTGGCTTGCTTGGGAAGGCAGTGTGGGGACTGAGCAAACACATTGTGTAGCACAGGTGGCCAGGGGCCTGGGTGAACAGAGGGAGTGTACCAAACTCTTCACATTGCATCGTTTGTCACCAGAACTCTCAGACTGTCATGCTTGAGAGCACGGTCAGTGCTCTAGAGAGAAGTGTCAATCTTCTGCTTTTGTGGAGACACTGTCCCAGGAAGAGAAGATTTGCCTTAATATTGCAGGTGGTGAGCACTGCACTTCTCTGTAATTGTCAACTCTGGTCATGTTTGTTAGACGGGTTTAGTCTTGCTGTATGAAGGTAGGTCAATGGGCAGGGAGAGGGAGAGTGTCAGGGTTTAATTTGGAAAGCAGAACTAGCTAGCTCCATACCCTTTGATAGCCTGGATCATCCCTTCCCTGCAGCTCACAGCATCGTGTACTTCTGTCACACTAGTAAAGTCTATCTCACCCCCATCCCCTGAGCCATGTCCTTGCTTTCAACACATCCTAATGCCAGAAAAAGTGAGACTGCACCACAAAGTCCATCTTCTGCTCCTGCAGGCATTCATGTAATACCAAACTTTTTGTAAACCAGTCGTGCTCCTGCTCGCAAGTAGTGAAGCTCTCCTTGCCCAATTCACACCATGTGTCCTCAGACAGCTTTGCCCTTCAGTTTACATAGTTCCTTCCTCTTGGGTGTCCCTGGCAGATTTATACAACGTGGCAGTATCCCCTTTCTCCTTTTACTGTGCCAAGCTAAACAGGCTAGCTTTCTTTAGTCTCTTTTTATGAGCTACACTTTTGGGATGATCAGAACAGTGGAAAGCCTATATCCCCACTTGTTTTAGTGTGAAAATGGCCTGTGACTGTTGCTATTCAGAGTAAGGTTCCCGCAGAAGTCACTGGTATATGTTTCATGCACTTATTCAAAAGGAAAGTATTGAAATCACAGAGTAGTGTCAAGAAAAATACTGATAGCCTTTACTTTAACTCATTTCTGAGAGGCAAGAACCCCTTTCAGGGACACTTGGGTGGATTTAGAAAGTGGGCATGGCTATAACCCATTCAGGTAATTGAACGGAGAAATCACTTTACAGGGTGATTCCTAATCTGCAAGTAAGACCATGGAGGGAGCATTCTGGATCCTTATGCAGGAGTTTGCCTGGAACTGAGATATAGCATCATGAATGATTGTAGCAGATGTTATAGAGGTAATGAGTACAGGAAAACAAGGAATTAGCATTAAATTGAGCACTTGGTTTGGTTATCCATGTAGGAACTTTACGGGTTGTTTTGTGTTAGCTTTGTGGATGCCCAGTGGAGGGTGTGCTGTGTGCTGCTCATCAGACACAGTATCTGTAGTCCTTGGGTAAGATCATAGTGACAAAAGAAGAAACTTGCAGCCTGATTCAATGAGTCTTACAAGGTCACACATTAGGTCAGTACTGCTGAAAATAGCACTGACAACCTCCATTGTTGGAAGTAATTGCTATGTTTAGTCTACATGAAAAAAAGCCTCAGTTAAAAGAGGCAGAAAAGGATAACCTAAAGAGTTAAAATATTGAGTATCAAAATTGAAGAAAAAGAATAATCTGAAGTACACCACCTCTGTGGTAAGAGTACATAATGACACATATTTTTAAATATAGGAGACTTAGCAACTTTATAAAGTCACAGGATCGATCTCCTTAAATCCTTTTTCTCATTGTTCACTCTAGAATCCAAGATTCTCTACAAAATCCAAAATGATAAAACTAGAACGGTATGTGAAGAACCAGTAAAGTAGTGTTTCTTGTCTAGTGTTCTTGTTCTGTTTTGCATAAGCATTCTCCATAGATTAGGCTGTTCAGGATATAAACTATTATCCTATTAGTGTACTAAGCACTTTCCATTCTTTCAGTTCTGCAGCCAGATTTGCAAAGGAGCAGCAAGTGGTAGCTCCTATTGCAGGATTTTCAGAAACAAAATAGAGAATCTGGCCCCACCTATGGGTGAGGAATTTAACATATGCTTTTAAATCCACTAAAAAGCCTTGAAACATTCATCTGAAATATGTAGTTTGATTGTATACCTCAAAGCAAGTATGTGTTTCAGATATATTTAGTTTATATAAATTCACTTTAGAAGTTCCACAGTCTGAAAAATATGTCAGTACATATTACTATGTATGCTATACACCAGATGCATGGCACTGCCAGACACTTTTTGACATAAACGTTTAAAATATATTGTCATGCTGTCCTTTAATCTATCTTTCTTTGTGACTTATTATAAATGAGGGCTTGATCCCCTAGATCCCCAGGTTCTCATTTTCTTTGGCAGCCAATGGAAAAAATAAAGAGAATTACGAAACAGATATACAGTAAGCCTAGGGAACTGGGACTCACAGGCCTACTGCAGCTCTGTTTCGTAAGTTATCATATTTAAAACTCTTGTTTTGGATAACATGTCAGTAGGAAATTAATATGGTGATGTATGCTGTATCTTCCTCTAAAAATTGATACAGGTTTGCCATTAACAAATATATATATATTGAAAAAATCATGCACTTGGACACTGCATTGCATGTACTATGCTTGCTAATTCCTCTCTGCTCAGGGATCTCATTTCTGTACCAAACACTGAGCATTTTCAAACAGCTGCTGCTTACACTTGTAATCCTGGGAAATATTTTTTATTATTTCCACCATTCTTCAAATAAGAAATGTCTTTACTAGTGTCATACTGGCCTTAGGATGAAAAATGGACAATATTCAGTAGTGAGTCAGTGACAGAAATCATATCAGAGTCATAATGGGACTCAAGGAGGAATTTTCTAACTGTTCATATATCTATTAAGAGATTATTTTTTGAGTATTCAATATCTAGTTCTGGCAAGTGCTAAAATATCAGACCATATAGTTTTTTGAAATAATTGAAAATATTTATTTTAATATCTGTATTTGAACAGTGAGACCAAAACAAGTGCTATTTTCAGAATTCATAATGTCATTGGGTACATATTTCAGTGCTGTGATTTTGATAAATGACTTTCATAAACCAGAAGAATCTGGCAGGCAACAACATTGTATTTTTAAAGAAACAAGTTATGAAATTTACTTTTTAGAGCTCATACATAGTAGTTGAATGCATGCCTCCTCAGGAAACTGATGAGGTGTGGAAGATTTTTCATAATTTTAGATACATCCTCATAATAACATTTCTATACTCCAGTATTCTAGGCTATCCAAGCAGTATGGAATGGACATCTACCTAAAGAAAGAGTTCCTTCAGTACACAGGATCTGTGAAGGAACGAGGTGTACTTTACCTTCTGACATCATTGCCTCAGGTATACTAAAATGTCAATGTTCAAAAAGAAATCGATTAGTTCTGCTTCACAAAAATAGAGCAGAATTAAAGATAATTTTACTCATAATGTCCGTGGAATCAGAGTGTTTCTTGCCTTTTGAACCATTGTGCTGATCAACACAGATAGGCCTGCAATGTATCCGAATGTAAAATACTTAGTATTTTATTTATACTTGGCCAATCTGCTGATGGAATGCTTAAAAATATTTGAAAGAAAAGCTTGCAAAATGTAAACATCAGCATTTTTCTGTGGCATTTAGATGACAGTGTTTATATGCGTATTATGGTTCTGTCATGTTGAAACCACCAAACTTTAAATGATGATGAAATCGAGTTACAATGGGTGATGAGAAGGATCTAGATCACCAATTGATTTTGTAATGAATTTCAGTATCATTACATTAATAGCTTGTTTATCATTTGTCGTAGGAGGTTATTGAATCCCTGCAGCAATAATAATTATAATTGGCGTGATACAGCAGCCCAGAAACAGTGGTTATTCCTGCATTTTTTTAATAATATGACTAAATCCTTCTATTAAAGGGAAATCTGAAATGAAGTAATTTCACACAGGCAAGGAAGAGGGACCAGATATCAGCTGTGAGGGGCCAGATATGGCCTGTTCTGAGATCAGCTGGAGTTTTGCAGCTAATTCCAGTGGAATAAGAATTGAACCCAGAGGAGTGCAGGAACAGCGATTGATCTTGTGCTGTCTTAGCTCTGTGTGTGAGTCCTGACATCATGCCAGACATGCATATACTGTGTCATAGTATGATCAGCTAGTAGAGAAAAAGAAGGAAGTCAGACCATTAGAATAATCCAGGGTTATATGGGACAACTTTGTAACACACTATAATGTGCAATAAACAACGCTGTTTTTTAGGATCAGCAAAAAAAAGGAGTGATTGTGGCTTCGGACAGTAACTTTTCCACGGCTGTTGCTTACCACGCCTCAGAGCTCCATATACCGGTGTTTGTCATCATGTCAACCAGCACGTCCCCAGCCAGAGTGAAAATGTGCCGTGAGTACGGTGCCATGGTTATATCCTATGGCACTACAGCTAAGGATTCCCAGACACATGCAAGAAGGTTGGCGCAGGAGAATGGTTACCTCTACCTTGAAGAGTAAGTGGAAAGTCAGACTGATGAGAAAAATTAAATTAGATACTTGTGCAGCTCTACAAAAACAATTAGTTTCATTAAAATTTGATCACAGGTCATCAAGATGTTCCCATTACCTGGGGTATGGACAGTTACATATTCCCAGGCACAAATCGTGAATCTTTCTATAGCTGTTGGGGATGGAAACCAACATGAAATGCTCCTCTTTTCCCCCAAATTAGGCAAAGTTCCTGATTAGGAATTATATGGGCTATTATGATAACCCATATATGTTAAGTCTTTATGAACCCTGTCAGAAAGCGTTAAGGCTAGGTGAGTAAAAACTAATCTTTAATGCAAAGGCTTCAGTGGCAAGGGAAGGCTAATGTAAAATTGTTGCATATCTGGTATGACTTACAATACTGTGATTCTGCCTTGAAAAAAAAGATGAGTAAGAGGCTACTTCACATATATTTAAAATAGGTAAAAGTGAGCATAAATTTAAGTTCAAACTATCTGAGGTCATTGAACAAGCCTGATCTAATAAAAACATGATTAGAATAAGATAAGATAGGCAAAAATATTTAGAACTGATCCGTTTTCCATCTTTTTCTTTTTCTCTATGCAGTCTCTTCAGTTTTCCCCTTCCATTTTCTTTTTTTTTTTCTTACCTTTTTTCAAGTAAGATTTACAAAAGTGCAGAGGAATGAATCATTAGCATGAGGTAGTTGGCGGCCCCTCTGATGCACAGAGCTGGAACATTGATCTCCCTCCCCGTTGCGCCTCTGTGCAGGATTTATCTGCCACTCCATGTTTGTAGGGCACCTGCTGCAGTGAGTGCCCCTTCCCCTCCGGCCCCCAGGTGCTGGTGCATTAAACATAGTAATAATGAGTCGAGTTGCTTGGAAAGAGGATCCCAGAATGAGCAGAATGGAGAAAGTCCTCACTTCTTTCCCAGTTGGTTTACTGGGGAGGCGATATTAAAAACTGCAGTCTTCAACTGCACCGTTAGCTCTGCCAACAGCAAGTGACCCGCGGGGCTGCTTGGTGTGCCTTGTCTGTCACCATGGGTACAACCTTGTTCCAGACTGAGACTTTCAGAAAAACCCAAGGGAATGAGGTGCCCTAGATCCCACTGAATTTTAAAACCATTTAGGCTCTCTATGGAAACCACAGCTTTCTATAACCTTGTGATTTCCAAATTTCTGTCAGCCTTTTTTCAATGAGCATGTTAACTCCCAGCTGTCTTGCATCAACTATCATGTTTGCACATAAGAATTAAGTTATTTTATTGTAATTTCATGTTTAATCTTCCCCTCCTTCCCAAATAATTATTTGTGTTAGATAAGATAGATATTCTCCAGGTCTATGAAGCTCCAGGGACAATGCACGTGAAGGACTTCAGCATCTAACACTGAGGAACTCTAAATGTACATGTTATGATTTATAATATCAAAGCACTCTGATTTATTTTGGGTCTCTAACTACAGAAATGGGTATTTCAGGTTACAAGAAACAGAGTTATTCAGCCTGTTACTATGTTTAATTATAAACTCACAGATACAATTTTTTACATTTCGGAGAAAAAAAAAATAGGAAAAAAATACCCACTACAATTGTGACCCTTTTCATAACGGGATGCCTGAGATGTCTTTTGTTAGGTGTAGACTGGGAGAGCTCTCCCAGAGGGATGTATGCTTATATGGATAGCCAGTCATCTTCAGTGTGTGTCTGACATTCCTCATCACTTGGCAAAGCTGTCTGTAAAACATCAGCTGATCTCCTGTGCTTTAGAATGGAACTTCTGAAATGTTGTTTTATTTCAGTTTAATTCTAGCTTGCATAAAAACCCTAGCAAGTTGGTGTCTGCATCTCCTTAACCAACAATTCATTCTTTCCTTCCTGAGGTAGACATTACATGACTGTCCTTGGTTTTACCTGCACGGGTGATGTCCTGTAGTTGTGTGTCAGTGTCAATTCTTCCCATTTTTTAAGTGCAATTAAAATACTGTGTCATGAAAAATGATCATGCAAGAGTTCAATTAGAATAAGGAAACTTTTTATCCAACTGCATCTTCCTGTGAAATTCCAGGAAGGAAATGTGATTTTTCAAGTTGGAATTCAGTCATTAAGTCTACCTAATTACTGCCTAGCTAATATGGGATTTCTAATAACTGTAGATGTTCAGGACCTCATTATAAATGCAATGTGAAGATTGTCAATAAGTAACACAGTACCTCTGGGATGATGTGAGAAAGATTGATTTGTGAATCAGAGAGGTAAGTGTGCTACAGACTGAATTACACACCTTCCTTTCTTGAGAGTCCTGTTTTTTCTTGTGTAACTGTATCCAAATACTGATCAGACCTGATCCTCATTCATTGGTGATCTGGTTAGTCTGTTATTCTAGGAAGGACAGCCGATAGCTTTCAGGCCCTTTATTTGGAGAACAGGGGAACAGAGCCTGCTAGCAGCCACATCAAAATTTCATTGGGAAACTGAAGCCTGACAGCCCATCTTTGATTGCTGATGTATCTATCGCACATTACAGAAGGAAAATGGCCAGGTTTCTAGCTCTGACTCAAAAATGCTTATTTACATCTACAGTCTTTTGATTCACCTGCCCTTTTCCTTGATTTTCCCTCAATGGCATATGCTACTGAAAGAGATATGTTTGCTTTCACAAAGCAAAAGTAATCAGTCACAGTGTAAATAACTTATTTTATTATAAAAAGCTGGAAGCTGATCAGTTAACTGGTGTTCTAACTAGATGTTAGCACGGAAAACATGATTACTTGAACATTCATTCAAACTGCTAATAAATCTCCATGCCCAGAGAAGTCTCCTTCAGACAGAATTTTCAGTTGTTAGAGAAGTTTTACTCATAACTTGAATATTACAGGTCCTCATTCATTTTTGCAGGTCCCCATGGTTTCCCATGTAACCATGGCAAGGGTAATTCCGCAAACTCAGTTCTGAATCTTATTTGCAAATAACGGTCCAGAAGAATAGTTCAGGAGAGCAGTTATATGTTTAGTCACATAGAAGAAGGAGGAAACAGCTCCTTCAGTATCTTTATAAAGACAATAAATTCAAGGGTTCACCCATCCCACTATGATTTCTTGCCTTTGTCTTTAGCTGTGCTACAGGATTGAAAGTTCATTCCTCCCATCCTTTCTTGTGTAGTTATATAGACTCTTGCCCTGAGGAATTTGGTGTGTTTTGCTATGTATGTGAGGTAGCTTCTCAAGAGGTCTTTGCAGGCATTCTGTGCTCCTGTGCTGAGCCTCTCTGTGCATGTATAACAGTAATATAAGCACAGCTTCCTAGTACCCAAACGTCCTGGGTCAAGTAAATCAAGTGAAGTCATTGGATCTGTAATTCTGTTTGCTTATCCATTTGCCAGAAAAAGCAGAGCATACAGTCACACAGAGGTCTCGTGGTTTTTGTTCATATATCATTCTACAATTACATCATTGCTAACTTTTAAATAAAATGCAAAACAGCTTTTAGAAATAGATCCAAGTCAATTGTGTGATTGTACAGTGGACTTTTCTTCAATCTTCTGACTGTATTTGTCCATATTCTGCTCATTAAATTACCTTTGCCTGAAAGTGTTTTGCCAGCAAGTATTTTGGCATGAGTAAATGCTTCTCTAACCCTTCCAGAGTCTTCCAGAGTAATGTGAAGGTATCAGATATTGGCCCTAGATGGTGGAAAGACTTAATTCTCTAGCAATCTGTTTGGTATTTGTGAGGTTGAACGCAGTGCTTAAATTTCATGAAAATTCCCATTTATCATAAACACTAAATTCCACTTATAAATACAAAGAAGGAGATGTCCTTCCAAGACTTTGACTTAGTCTGGACTGCCACATTTAAAATTTATGAAGCATATGGTAGTGACAGCAATGGAAAAATGCTTCTGTCTTACCAGCCCTGTAAACACCTGATACTGGTAACAATAGAGCTACATTCTTTTTTTCCCTGAAGGATATTTGGGGGGTTTGTCAGCGGTGCCAGTTGTCTCCCAGTAGCTAGTGTCACACTTCACACAGCGCACGATGGTGTGTCTGATGGAAGTGTCCTGTTGTACTGCCTCCTGCCCTGGTGCTTTGCTCCTGCATATACCTTTTTTCTGCTGAACGATGTCTTTAAAGTAGTAGATCGAAGTGTTATTGTGCTGACAACTGTGAACCCTGCTGAGCTGTGCCCTTCCTTCCTGCAGGGAGGACAGTGCTGTCTACCTGTCGGGCCTGGGAACCGTGGGGCTGGAGGTGTACGAGCAGGTCCCAAAGCTGGACGCAGTGATTTTCCCTGCAGGAGGACACTGTGGCTTGCTGGCAGGGTCGGCTGCTGCACTCAAACACCTCAACCCACATATTTCTGTAATTGTAAGTTTCCTTTCACCTGTAAAGTGTTGCATTTTGACAGCTTTCACCATAGATACTGTCAAAAGGCACTGGTATCTAGTGAAACACTGACAGAGACTGCGTATGCCGGGGACCAGTACTAACTGTGCCCCCAGGCTTTACCAAGGAGAAGAGCCACTGAGAGCCTGGGAAGCCTCCTGTCTCTTGGCTGCTTGCCTGGATTTAAGAAAAAATGCAGGAAGACTCTTCCAAAACAAATGAAATTCAGTTCTGTGTTTTGAAATAATTTTTTTACTGGAAAAGTTTGTCCCAAAATAAGCCACAGGATAAATTTAGTGATAGCACAGTTATTATGCAACTTGAAATTATTTGTTAATTCTAAGAGGAAACTTTGTGTAGCTTTTTTGGTGTTCACTTGGGTGGTAAGTTCTGTTATAGCTGGGTCAATAAAAAAGTGACAATACTTGTCTTCCCCAGGGGGTTGAATCTGAAAGTTTCCCTGTATTGCAACGATCCTTAAAGGCTGGCCACCCAATTGAAGACCAGGCTTGCAGCAATCATCACTTTTATGGGGGTAAGAAAATGGATTCTTCTTTTGGAGGTAAAATTAAGGTTTTCACTGATTTCTCTAACCATATTATTTTCTCACTAATCCAGTTCAAACATAGCTCAAATGAAACCTCTGAGGAGTCAGAATTTAATTCATGCTGTAAGAGCAACTTCTGACACATTTCCTCCACCACCACCCTGGGGTGTAATACTGTTTCCAGTACACATGAAATGTTCGGGTGAATACTTAGAAATACAAGAGTATTTGTCTGATGATTATGCTCACACACAGCATTTTAACCAGTAAAGTAAATGGGAAAACTCTCATGTAAAAGACTAATTTGTGAAAAGGCAGGCAAATGTGGTATTTAAATGTTTACTCACAAAACTGTTCTCAGAACAACAGCATTTGTAAGTGATACAGTTGTTTCCATATCATTTGCTCAAAAATCCTCAGCTGTTAAACAATTTAAGAATATCATGTCTACCTTACCGTCAAATCCCTGGAAGCTTTGGATTAAATGGGAGTTTTATAAACAAACAACTTCTGAAGTTTCTCAGTAAGCTCTGCCTGTCTCTGTACTCCTTTGCTAACTCTCCTGCTGCAGCTAACAAACCCAGTGCCACACTGGGTTCTTTTTTTCAGGTCTCGTTGTACAGTGAAAAGCACTGGGCTGCAGGGTCAGTTTCACAGTGTGACTGTGCCAGTGAATAATCACAATTTTGCTAAAGGGGTCCAAAATGGAAAAATCTTCCCAGGAGAGTTGGTCTTTCATTACCAAATAAATTTTTGTTATATGAAAAATCAAGCAACTTAAGATCAAATAGCAGCAGTGTGCTGCACTCATTAAGGGCACTACCCAGTCAGGACTCTAAAAAATTTTGAACTTGTCTAGAGCAGCCATCTTCATATTTTTGTCTTTTGAAATCTGCAGATGTGAGTGGACTTTGCTTTGGCAGCAATTCTTTGCAGTTGACTGGGAAACTTGTGGATAAAGTTGTTGCTGTGAGGTAGGTGAAGAAAGGCAGTGAAATGAATAATACTGGGTGAATATGGCTGTATATGAAAAATGTACTGTACCACCAGGGCATGGTTGCTCTTCACATACAGTGGAAAACAGGCTGGCAGGAGTTGCAATCGTGCACACACTGTGAGAACCTGGTTATGGTGGGGTGCCTTTCCTTCCAAGAGGGCACTAAAGGCATTAAACCTAATCCTATGTATCTGATTCCTTTGGCCAAAAATTCACCTGCTGCTAGTACCTGGTGATGCTCTGGGTGTAAAACTTGTCCTTTTTGCATTCTACAACACTTGATGGCAGCTTTTGGCAAAACTTCTGAACCTTCACTGAAAGCCCAAGTTGGCAGAATATACTTACCACTAGGATTTAGCTAGCACAATGGTTCTAGCAAAACAATGCCATCCTGTCTTTCAGTTAATAACAAGACTGAGATGCACATTCAGCCCCCCCAGCAGAGCTTGCTGTAACACCACCTTGGGGTTGTTGTGTACCCAGAAGGACGGAAGGAATCCCTTTATACATAAATGTATTGTCTTCTGCTTTTAGTGGCTCTTTTGTTTTGTTCTGACGTAACTTTTTTGCCTTCAGGGAGGAGGACATCCTCATTTCAATGCTGAGATTGCTGGAGTATGAGCGAGCCACGGTTGATGCAGATGGGGCCATTGGACTTGCAGCGTTGGTTGCGGGGAAGCTGCCTGAGTTGAAGGGTAAAAGGTATGGCAGCTATTACAAACAGGGAACTGTGGCACAAGCATGAGGATGAGTGCCTTGGTCCTGGGAGACAGAGAGGAGAGAAGCTACTTGTTTCATGAGTGAAGAGGCAGTTCCTGCCCCTGAACTGGCAATGGGCCTATCTGTGGCATCTGTTTCAGGTTGAAAAGACCACTCATGGGTCAGAAAACCATGTTGAACAAAACAAATGTCCACCTGGAGACTAGACAAATCTTGTAATTTTCCTGTATTCTCAAATGGTTGGGGGAATGGCAGTTACATACAACTCCATGAGTTACGGTCATCTGCCAGGACACCATCCTGCTCCTGTCAGCCTGTTGCCTTCTGTCATTCCACTTGTGGAAATCAGCCCTGTCTGTGGTGGGACAGGAGCTGGCCTGTCTTCTGCAGTCACTTAGTGACACCTGCCTCCTGGCCCCAAGGACTCCTGCCCAGATTGTCAATGGGATTACCCTTGTGTTTAATGTTAAACGTGTGGGTAAGTGCCTTCTTGCATCTGGGCTTGAGTACTCAGTACTTAAGCAGACTGAGCCATGTCTCAGGATATAGCCCAGAATGTATTTAAGCGTACATGCACCCAAGACAAAAAAAAAAGAATTTCCAATATAGAGCATTGTATGCTAAAATACTGCTGAGGCAATTCTTCAGAGGAGGCTGACAGAGTACATACACAGCAACACATTTCAATTCAGTATAGGTAAGATAAAAGGGAAAATGCAAAGGTTTGAGTTTAAAGAGGTCAGGTTTGACCCTGCAGAGAGAGATTATCATGGACTAACCATGTGGCTCTTCACTTACTCTTCAAACATGTCTATACCCATTTTGCAGGGTTGAGATGGATTTAGTTAATGGTTACAGAATTCCTTGAACATACATTATATTTAACCATTAGGAGGCTGAGACTCAGAAATTCCCGGAAAAAAAATAAGTCACATTTTAAAAATTTGAAACAGAACTAGAATTCTCTAGCTAACTATCTCTAACAAAACTAACACCTGCAGGAAATGCAAAATGAAAACAAAGTTTCAGACCAACAAATGCAACCAGCTTCTAGGCTCCCATTGCTTGCCCACAAATTGATACTAGAGCCATGAGCCTCTCTGATGTGTAATACGTATTTGTTAAAGAGTGGTCCTAGCAAATCTTAAACTGATATTGAATGCAGTATTTGTGACTTATGGTTCCTTTGCACAGACAAGAGTTAATAAAAAAACCCTACTTTTCTCACTGTTTTCAGAGTGGCAGTTGTTATATGCAGTGGAAACCTGGAGTTACATTTGCTGCAGCAGTGCATAGCTCGTGCTCTGACCCTCGATAACAGAGTGTGCAGATTTTCCCTTGTGCTTTCTGACTGCCCAGGAGGCATTTCAAAGCTACTGGAGTTTTTGGCTCGGGAAGAAGCAAGGTAAGTCAAACTAGTAATGGGGGAATATAATCATAGAATAGCACAAAGATTATAAAGTATTTGGGCATGTTTCCAGATGTTCTCTGAAGGCAAGTCTGTAAGTAACTAGTTAATCAAAGGGATTTTTCTTGTTATATTTCAGAAAAGCTTTTATTTCCTTCATTTTTGTTACAGTGTGAAAGCACCTTTACAGCATGGAATAAATGTCTAATACAGAAAATACCAAAGATAGCTACTGTCCAAACACTTACAGAAACTATTTTATAAAGACAAAGGATTGTTGTGATCTCTAATTTATCCCTTGTTTGATCTAGAGTTTTGGATATCAAACAAGAACATATGTTTGTGACATCTGAGCTCTTCACTGTCGAGGTAAGATGAGATGCAATTTCAGTTTCTCTAGCAGTACTGACCTCCCCTAATTCATTCTGGTTTCCTATATCTCTATATGACTATGTTGAAGAAGTCCAATAGAGTGTGCACAGTGATTTGTCAGTGTAATAGATAATTTCTTCTGTGTTATATAGCATCTTGCTTCACCAAACACTTCACAGGCATCTAAATAACACAGGACCTGTTTTACCTGCTATTGTGACACCATGGTTGAAATACTTCAGCTATTACTATTGCAAACCTTTAGGTGCGTGTTGGTGTGCCAGATGTGGTGAGCAAGCTGCAGCATCCGTCCAGAACCTGAAGAGCCAGCTGTGTAGGCTGGCTGTAATTATCCAAGATCAATTTGCCTTAAAGCAATGTGGAGAACACCCTTGCTCCTAAGGAATCCTCCTTTTTAACTAGGGCCTCAGTTTTTTACCTTATCCACAAAGAGCACAAAGCAAAATCATTATTCCTTTATTGAGTATTTGATACAATAACAGTGAGGAGGTGTTATAAGTTAATGGCATCTCTTAAGGGAATTGTTTGTCTCACGGCATATCTGTTGTTTCAACTGGTTTGGCAAAGGTGTGGTTCCATGGATGTCATGTTACTGCTGTCAAAGTCCAACCTGATTTTGTTTGTGAAATCACAGGTGGAAGTCAGATTAGGTCTCTTTGCTAAACAGGCTCATAGCTGGGATTCAGTAATGCTATTAAGCAAGTTCTTCCGTTTTGGCATTTAAATCTAATTTCCCACCTGGATGCAAAAACCTGCTTGGATTTTTCACTTGCTGATATAAAGAATAAGTTAGGTTAAAGGTGACTATAGCAAAGAACTAAGATGTTCACAAATGTCTTTCAGAACATTATATTAATAGTTTTATCAAGTGTCTAGGACTTAAACTACATTCTGTAACAATAGCCCAGTTTACTGGTTCAGGTAACTTGAAGCTACTGTGACACTGTATGGGGTAGACAAATCCCTCTGATTCAGAGACTAACTTAGCTCTGAAAAACCTTTTCACTGAAAGCTAGATACAACAAAGCCTGTAGCTCTTCTAAAGTTTTCAATGTGAATTTTATGAGCTAAGGCTTGTAATTTTTATTAATGCTACTAAGTAAATTAAACAAAATCTACTCTCTTACTTTTTGACTAAGAATGTTAGAACAATCTTCCATTGCTCTTGCAACCTCTCCCAATGTGCCAATTTTATTAGAAGCTGTCATAAATACAGTCCCTGAATGAAAATGTGTCATGTGCTATTGTCTGCACTTTAAATATAATGTATTTTCACTGACTGTCCTCTTCAAGCATCTGACAGTGTTGTACTACAAGAGAGTTGAAGGAAAAAATTTGCATCCCTGAATAATTTAATTGGATGATGGATTTGCATGATGGCTTTTAATCATTCTGGGAGAGACTATTGGATAATTAGATGTGAAGTACAAAGTAGCGATCCAGATTTATAGGCCTCAGTGACTTTGGAGGCAGCTCTGTCTGGTGACATCTAGTGAACAGTGAAGCTTTTCTTTGAAAACTAAAACAAGGGTAATCAAAAAGGGTAGAATATTAAATTTTTCTTTAAGCATCAAAATTAATTTGCTCTAACCAGATATAAAAAAATGTACATATTTTCATAATAAAGCTAATATGTGGAGGGAAGGTTTTGCTTTTTTCTTTGTTGCTTGTAAGGGCCAAAACCCTGTGTCAGGAAAGCAATTTAAGCATTTGCTACTAAAGCAGTCCTACAAAGAACTTTTTATTGTTTTCATCAGTGTAAATCACAGCATGTTAAATAAAGCATGCATTTAAATCTAGATCAAGAACCAAAATTATCATGTGTTGAACTGGTGGCAACAACAGGAAAGGCATTACAGCTATACCCACTCTAATTTTAATACATACTTTTGACTGCGGATATAGATTAAGTGTTTGACAGAACAGAGGGGTAAGTGTAGTGGCTTATTTGAAACACTAAATCAGTCCTGTCGCAATTGTCATCTAAGCATTTAATCATCGTTTTAGATTTACCCCTTCATTTCCAAAGGAGAGAAACTTGGCTTCTAGTCACTGTTTATCAGGAACGTAGAGCGTTTTTTTCCGCTCTAGTGAAACAGAGCCTTGCTAGGTTAGTGTTTATTCATCTGGTGCATGCTTGGAATGTTCTGTGGGAAGATCCTTGCTGATAGTTGGATTGTGTGGAGTAGTAAGGACTTTCTAAAAGGAAGCTTTACATTCAAACTACCCTTCTGGAAAAATAACTTTTGGAACATTTTACTGGCAAAACCAAGAGATTTTTTTTAAATTAAAAAAAAAAAAAAAAAGAAAGAAAAAAGAAAAAAGGATTATGGTGGCTGCTTTAGATTCATCTGATTCTTAATGAAGTGCCTTGTGTAGTGAAATTAGCTAGTCACATTCTTTGGAACAGTGTGGGAGTTTCTTCTGGATACTGCCTGCTTACAACTGCAGTTTAGTTTCTCTTTCCTTGTGGCTTATACTGGATTTCTGTCTTTCAGAGGACTACACCCTAATTCACTCTTACCTGAGCAGTTAGGAAATGGCTTCCAAAGTCCCAGCTTAAACAGATAACTCTTAGCAAATCATACAAATAACCAGTCTAGTAGGGTTCACATTTTACAGCTATTAAAGCAGGTTAGATGACTGGGAATCTCTAGACAGAAATAAAGATCAGAGCTAAGATAAAAATCATATAGTATCACCATCTAACTAGATATAGAGATCTGAAGGATTGCCCAGTTCATGGGAGAAAACTACAATATGCTTCTGTGAACTTTCCCTATTCTTTATCAGTAATATTCCTCAGATTCAGTGCGGAACAATTTATCACTTAAATTGTTTCCATTTGTAAGCATCTTTATAACCATTTAAACCCCTTTAATTTCGTATTATTATTGACTCAGAGAGAAGTCAATGATCAAAATTAATATGCAACTTAATAAGGTAAGAACTATTTTTGCTATGAAGCCATGCAGGTGTCTGCTATAGAACAGCAGCTTGCCTGCTTAATAGGTGTCTCATATTTGAACTCATGCAACTCAGCTGAAAAAGAAGAATCTTTGAGCTCATCAAGTTTCTAGAAAAGTCTTCTCCTCACCACTGGAACTGCAGCATAATCAGACTGGCAGGTACAGGAGGGTCCTGGAACAGAGCAGCAAGGGCCTGCAAGGTCTTGAGGTACTCCAGCAGCTTTGTAGAGAAGCAGTTGCTGTGGCAGTTTTCCTTCTAACCTTGGTCCTGTTTGATATTATGGGGTTCTCTGATCTGTTCACTTCAAACCTCTTGGGACCTTAACTCTGTGGTGGTTTTAAATAACTCAGAAGAGACTGGTTGTAAAAAGAACACCCATCTCATTACTTCTCCCTCTGATAGCAACAAAATACTAATACATAAATCAAATGTTGCTTTTTCTATATGATAACATTACACATTGTCCCCAGTCGTGCTGGATTTCCTGGCTCACTTTGTGTGGTGTAATATCTTGTTGTTCCATACAGTTTGTTCACCACAGGCCAGAACAGTCTGTTTTGGTCAATTTGAGTAAATTCCTTTGGGCCGACTTGCATTTTATAAAAGGCCAGAGGATTAGAGTCCCCAGTTTTTGGATTACAGTCTCCAGTTGCCAACATGTTCCATATTATTGTCCTTTGAGGAGAATACAGAGGAGCACTCAGCTGTCCAGCTACAAGAAGGATGTTATCATTCCCAGAGTATTTCCTGCATAACCTGGGCAAGGCACCGTTTCCATGCTTCAGTTTCCTCATCTGCAAAACAGAGATGTTTGGAGTGGAAAGTTTGACAATACATTTCTTCTGAGGCTCTCCAAAAGACTTTGGTCGTTTTCTTTAACGGCATTCCACAGCACGCTATCATGGTATGGAATAGTCTGCCCCAGTTGTAGAAATAAGAACCTGAGTCTGGGGAGGCTAAAAGTAGACCTGTTGGACTATTATCTGACTTAGGTAATGTGATGGTAACGTGTTCGTGCTCATGCTCACCGACCTGAATGCAAGAGTGTGCCAAAAGGTAAGGGCTCAAGTTACACAACCAAGTGACAGTTGTGGCAGCTGTTACACTCTTTCTCCAGCATTGCATTGCACCGACCTTGGGGGCTGTCTGGCAGTTGATCCCCAAACCATAAATTGAAGTTCTGCTGCCAAATAATCTGTAATGTGCAGTAATATCCACTGAGTGTTTACTGAATAATTCAGAAAAATTGCCCAGTTGTTGATTTTTTTTTAATAGAAGTTAAAAGCCCTGGTTTATTTATAGAACTGAAAGCAGTGTATATAAACAAAGTTTTAATTTCTATCCCCAGTGATTTTTGTTCAAACAAACCTACACTGTGGCTGAGCATGGTGTATCATGAATATTAATGTTATGTGAATTCTCCGAGAACAACAGATTAAAAGATTATGAATATGGTTTCTATGGTTAAAAAAGTGGTATACAAAGGTTCAGTGGATGAGTCAGGGACATAAGGAACTGCACTAGCTGGTTATGATCTGTCTTTACATGGAGCCTGGAAAAGCACAAAAGACTGACTCTTTCGATTGAGCAATGCTACTCACATCTCCTCTGCTCTCTAGCACTGGGTTGGCATGTCCACCCAGTATCTTTATTTGCAGACACAACCTAGAGATATCAGGCTTCAGGAAGTTGAGAGACGTGCTGAATTAATTTTTAATATCTAGGAAAATACGATCTAAAAGGCAAAGTGCCCACATGTGAGACTTGCAGTTAGAGGGGAGCAGAAGTGCCCACCCTGTTGCCCAAATTATTCAGCACAGAAGTTATGAACTTCCCTCTCTTTGAAATAGAATTAATTCCTATGAATATTTTAATTTATGCATCTGGATTTTGGTGTTGCACGGAGTGATAAAACCCACAAGACATCAATATTCAGTGAAACCTGTTCTGTCTTCCATTACTTGTAGGCCTGCTATAAAAAACCCCAACAGGCTGACTAAACCCTTAGACTCTACTCAATCTTTACATTACCTGCCACAGAGACCAGAACACTAAATGTGGTAAAATATCCATCTGGATGGTTATTTTAACAGTCTTACAGAACCAGATAGTTTTTAAATTATTATTATTTTTTAATCCAGCCAGGATATAATATGAAGGAGAGAAATGCATAAAATATACTTTTGTGGTGCTGGTTTTTCTGAGATTTTTTGATACACAGAAAAGAAAGGTCTACTGTGCAAACATGGTCCTGCAGTCCATGGGAGGTCTGCTGAATCAAAAAGCCTATGTCTAGTACTGAGAGCTTATGGGTTTGATACAAATCTAAAGTAAAGTTTTCTCTAGTTGTCATAGGTTATCTTGTCTGGAGTATAAGAAACATCAGGCAATAGGTTTTGTGATTTGTTCTTAAATAAGACCAATTTGGAGCACTTATTCTTAGTTCATCAGTAGGTATGCAACCTCCTGTAGCTAGTAGTACCTAGGTGACTATTCATCCTATATATAAATATAATCCTCATATACCTCCCCATGGATATGAGCATTGCCCTGTTGGACATGCGTGTAAATTACACTTACCAGACAAAATGAATGAGAGAAGCATTCTGTGGAGGTAAAACTTCAATGTAAATTGGCTTAATCTGAGCAAGAAAGCAATTTTTTTCCTTCCTTGCTGTTTAAATCTGTAGCTGCTCTAAGGTGTAGTGTGATTCTCTGTTCACTCCTGCTGTGAGTAAATGTTCTCTCTTCCTCTGTTTGACAAGTGTGAAAAATCAGGTAAATTTCTGGAGTTGTTTGTTATTGCTGCTGCTGCTGTTATCATTACTTTTACAGCATATTACTGGTCATATCACATGTTGGATGCTGTGCACGCACAGAACAAAAAGACAGTATCTATCCAAACTGTTTACAAGCTCTCTGGCTCCAATCTATCCAAGTCTGTCTGGCTTCAAACATTAGCAGAAAGAAAAGGGCAGAGAGGAGGATAGTTAGCTCTATAAATCAAAATGCTTTCCCATGCTTGATCCTGGGGCAGAGCAACTGCTTGCTGCCAAATACTCAAAGCTGAACCTGGCAAGTCCAGACTGGTTCCAAGTGCAACAATTTATTTGCTCAGGACAAACAGGCATGATTGCTATGGAAGGAAAAAAATGTTGCTTTTTTTAATTACAGGCTCTGTGAGATGAGTGTATGCTCTTGAAAATATGACTGCAAAACTTTAGGGATTTTTATATGAACCAGGGAACGGATAATGGGTATTTGGTACTTTGGTGCCTAGATATCCTTTAGATACTTCTCCCAATCTTTGTGTTCTATCCTCTTCCCTCATTATTATTTGTCTTCTGTGACTGTCCTCCTGAGACTAAATCCCACTTTTTCAGAGGAGAAAGAAATTAGCATCTAATTTGTGTTCCAAAGAACCAAAGAAGAATAGAACTATGTTCAGGATAAGACACAAAGAATTATGGAAACAGATGAGAAATGTGGCTTATTTCACGATGGATATTTAAGAAGCTATAGCCAGTTTTCTAATTAAATAAGCTCATGACTGTTTAGAATAATCTGGAGTTAGTGTATCATCTTCTCACTCAACAGTTTTCTTAAGGGTTTACTGTTATTTTAAGCTCATTCAGGGAAACACAAATTAAAAAGTTCTTATTTAGAAATGTTCTCATAAACATATTTGAGTAGAGACTATTTTATTTTTTGCCTTGTTGCTTTCTCTAAAGGATGCAGCTCTGACAGGAACATTATACGAGGCATCTGTAGACTCTAGTAGACCACCTTGAGGTTACCATGACCAGTTTTTCCTCTATTCTCTGTAGATTTGCCTGTTACAACAAACTTTGTTTCACTGTGGCTCATCCTGGATCCTTTCCTCACCAGGTTTCCATGTTTCTGTGAGGTCTTTTTTCCATGTGACACTTTCAACATCGATAATTCCAGCAGGGTCAGCGGAGATGGAAGTTAGTAGCCTAAAACTGTGAAGTAAATTTTTCCTCTGCACCTTTGCATTGGTGCCTCACCTTTGATAGTGCCCAGATTTTCAAATGGTGCAATAGAGATGTGAGTATATAGAAGAGAGGTATTAAAGAAGAATTGAAAGAATGATGTTGAAGTTATTGTCTTCAGTGGCTGCATGACAGGATTGTCAGTAATACTTGTTGAGGCAGATGAAGAACAAAAAGAAAACTATCAAGGTTAATTTTGCCTGTGTTTAGTTTGATTTAGCAGCAGAACAACCATCACAGATAACTAGAGTTGAATCAATGAGCAAACAAAAAATCAGAGTGAAACAAGAAGGTGTTTGAGTAGATGAGACCAGCCAGAATACTGCTGAGATGATAAAGGACTAGGGGATAACTCCATGAGAGAGAAGATGAGGAGAATATAAAAAGATTGAAGGATGGAACAAGCACTGCCCAGAAACATGGGAAATGGGGCAAAGCAAGAGTCAGATACAGGTGAGGTGGCAGCAGCACCATGTACATACCCCAGGGAATGGAAAAGAGAAGCTGCTAACAGATGACTTCAGGGAGACCAACAGCAGGCAAGTACTTGCTCAGGAGCCAGCAGAGGATCAGTCTATCTTCTTCAAACTTTGAAGGCAATAAAAAGTGGGGCTGTTGGAAGGTTTTAAAACCATGCAGAAGGGCTGGAAGAGCCCCAGACATCTGCAATGTCAGTTTTCTTACCTGTGTAGACAGGGGATGTGAGGTCAAGAGTTTTTATGTTGAACTGATCGTTTTGCTTTTATGAGCGTACTTTAAGATTTCATTGGAAATGCCTTTGTCTGAGATTTCTGCCATGCCGTCAGGAATGTTCCTAATTCTTTTCCCAGGTCACCTGCACCGTGGAGACCAGAGACGAGATCCACACAGCCCAGCTGAGAAACGCGCTCCTGGAACGCTACCCCACAGCTGCCTGGACGGAGCGGTGATGGGCACAGCACAAGGGAAAGGGCTGAGCTCCTATGACAAGTATTTTACAGAGCCCTAGTCTTGAGTCATTCAGAACAAATATTATCTTCCAGAGCTTGAACAGTTAGAAGGTAGTTTCAGGATATTTATTTCCTGCTCAAAAAGTAGTGAATGTCCCTGGGAATAAAGTCAAACTCAAAACTTTAGCTTAGCTAAGGGTAACTTCTAGTTTCTGCTGGTGTTGAAAATCAATAATACGTTATCTGCTGGCTGTCTGGATTTTGGCTGTTATGTAGGATCTAATGGTGTTTGATAAATAAACAGGGAGAAGGCGTTTTTCTTTACATCTGAATATAGACCTCTCAAAGGTCTTTTGATTTTAATCCCCCTAGTTAGAGAAATGCACCTCTCCTGCTGGACTTTGCCATGCTACTAGTATAGTAATTTTCCATTTCCAAACCAGAAGCAGTTCTCCATTTGCTGAATCTGCTTCAAGAGATATATACATGTGTGTGGGGGGGGGGTTTGAAAACACTTCTGGTCTTTGCTATCATGTGAGGAAAAATTATGCTAATAAAATGCTTTTTAAACAAAAACAAAAAAAAATTGGAACATAAAAGCCAATATTGCATTCACTTTTTTTTTTTTTTCCCCCAAGGGAAAATGTTCCTCTTTATTTTATAAAGTTCCAAAAACTGTTGCAGCAATAACAAAACCAAACATAATCTGAATGTAATTAGATCATATATGCAGAACACAAATGTAATTCTTCCTTATGCTTTTGGGGACTCAGTATAAAAAGTAGGATATAAAATGGCTTGTGTTTCTTTATAAACAGGGGTCTCCACCTATGTGAATTTTGTAATTAGCATTCCACTGATCATCTTAGTCTGCCTAAAACAGACTCTATCCATCTCATTTGATAGATTAAGCACACTGTTAAGAGTGAAATATATTTAAACACCACATGTTAATAGCCAAAGGCAGTGCCAGGAGAAGAGGAAGGCTAAATCTTAGGCACATGGCTAATGCAATTAACAGAGAACACATTGACCTAAATACCATTTTCATCACTACAGGCAGAGACCAACTAATAAGGTAACAGGGTGGGATGGCAAAAAACGTAAGAGAAATTCAGGCCCACTTCTGAATGTGTGTACAACAGTTGTCTTTCCACCTGGGCAAAGTTCAGTTTATGGCCTGCTGCAACAGAGCCAATATATATCATTCTACTTAGTTAATTTAACCAGGATTGACCCAAATTTTGAGTATAGGTATTTTAATAAGAGACCTCTAGCATGTAAACTTGATAATTAGGTATACAAAATAAATACGATGTATAGTGCCCTAGCAGAGCCCAGCTGAAAATCCACCAAGGTCAGAGTGACCGTCTCCATGGGCTGTGTGGGATGAAATCATTTCAGTTCCCACATGCAGAGCTGGGTGGGCTGTTGCTAGGTGTCCATGAAACCAGCTTTAACTATAGATTTTTTTGGGGAGAAAGATGCTGCAAGCCCATAGTGACACTCCGTTGTTGTCGTATTATGATTTATAATTTGAGCTTCCATCTTCAGTCCTCCTCTGCAGTTAGGAACAGGCTTGTTCATGCGTTTCCTTTCCTGGTTCTGCAGTGGAAACCTTGATCTCTGAAGCACAATCAAGAAGTCACGTGTGGAAGAGGAGAGATGCCCTAGGGTAGGCAAAAGTTTTCTCTGCCCTCTCTTAATTCTAACTCATCTGTAGGCAAGGAAGGGCATCATCCAGAAAGCAAGAGCAACCCAAACAGAGGGTTGCTATGGACTAAAAAGGATGAACTACATATCCAATCTTGTGCAGATCTCATATGTATTGTATCTACTACTTACGGATATCCAGCTACATCTATAAATTAACCTGTGCCTGCAAGGTGTAATGAAGAGGGAAGCATTCTGGCTGTCTCTGCAGTACTTTTTTCTGGGACATAGTCTGTTTGGTCCCTCTTAGTTGTGGCTCGTGAAGGAGCGGGAGTGGGGAAGAGAATCTCACAAATGGTGGACAAATAATAGAAGTTTGCTGGTTTGGTCTGTTATTGGAAGGATTATGTTGGCTTGCACATGGAACTAAAAATTATTGATGCCCCAGTGGTTAGTTTCTTTCCCTTTTTGCCATCCAGAATGATGGGTGGAGGGCTTGGTCTCCAGAACACATCCTGTAAATCCTGTCAGACGCAGCTTCTTTCTTCACAGCCAGATTTTAAGAAATCTGTACAGAAATACATGATGACAGAATACATATTGTGTATGTGCTACTTCTATTGAAACAAGCAATGAACCACATCATCAAAGAGCAGATTTGGGGATGTAAAACCACTATAAATAAGGATCTAATTATCATCTCATCTCTTTTGGCATAACTCTCAGGAAATTTGGAGGATGTCTCGGATATCTACAGGAGAAGAAAATGGGACTTTATAACCAATGTTCTCAGTAGTGGCCAACAGCTTCTGCTGTCTGAGTCCTTGGTTAATTGTCCTGCATTGTCCTAGACTTTATTTTCTTAGAAGCTCAGAGCATTAACAACTTCTTTTCTAATCAGTGGGAACTACATTTAACAAGTCTTCACAAAAGTGGGGCAACAGAGGTAATAGATAGAGCAAGCAGAAATCAGTGCACTCAAAATCACTGTATGAATTTAAACGTTTTGAGGGAAAAAAAGGAAAGTGATGCCTAGAAGTTACTTAAAATGTTGGTCATGATATATGCAGTTTGGTTTTATTTTTATTGCATTAAGTATAAACAGAAATTGTAAATCGCTCTTCAGTGGTAAACACTTCATATGTAAATATGACGATACCAGAGTTGATTTCCATTCTATATTGCTTTTATGCGAGTCCATTGGCTTTAAAGTTAAAATTAGTTACTTCCAAGGGAAACAAAAATAAAAATTAAACATTTTAATGAATGCATGCAATTGGAAAAAATATTGAAATATCTGTGCTGCTGTTTTGCATTATGAAATATAACAGGACTATGGCATTTCAAAGATCTAATAATGTGTGTTTAAATATTTCATTTAAAGAAGTATTTTTATATAGTGCTCTTATATACGTTAAAAAAAAAACAACACTGTTTTAATGATTATGTAAAAATTTCACAAGTTGTTAAATCAGCAAAATGTAAATCTAAACATTGCACTTGTCTGAAAAATAATTAAAATTCTGCTATGCCACCTCGGCAATGAAAGATTTGTCATTCTCTCAAATGGTACTGATCATAGTTTTGCATTAAAAATTCAGCGTTTTTTTTTTTTTTTTCCCCTTTTTCTGTCATTGACATTAACACAAAATCCACATCGTTTGTGCACGCCGAGCTCTGGGCTGCTGGGGAGGTGAGCACAGCTGGGCAGGACTGCAGCTCTTGCCCTGTGGAGTGGGATGGGAGACTGCCAGAGTGTTCAGCAGCATGGCTGGACAAGCATCTCTCCTTACTGGCTTGGAAAGAGATTCTGTTTTGGGTACTGGGCCAGTTGCAAATGCCGCCTTGCTTGTGCCTGGCTGTGATCCTGGGCATTGTGTAAAGTTTAGTTGCAGAGGTATCCTGGGATGGGCTTGCGTGCGTCCATGGTATCTGGTGAATTGGATCTGAGAGATATTCATCACAAATATTGTGAACTTTGGTAAACCAGTCCTTCAATTTCAGGATGCAGCAGACTCCACCAGCCAAAGTGCACGGTCATGTCTCCAGTGGAAGAGGATGCTTTGACCCAGGTAATGCCACTAGAGCTAAGCTACTGAGCTTTGGCAGCAGTCCTATGAATGCAAGGTTTGTCAGGGACACAGCACAACTTCTTCCATGGACTGATACAAACAAGGCGTATCTTTAGTTGAAACAAAATCTCTTCCCACATTGATTCCTTAATTTTTTCAGCCAGGTCCTGTTAGCTCTGGATTAATATCTAAAGCTCTGCCAGTACATGTTTACATAGCATCAGGAAAAGTTAATCTCCCATACAGATGGCATGTCCTCACAAGTAGCACCTTGCCATCTAGTCTACTGCTTTTGAAATATTTAGAAACATATGCTCCTCCTTCCTATCTCAAAGTGCAGTAAGTGCATTTGACATAAAAATCAAACTTCTGCTATATCCAGACCTAGGCATGTGATTTAATGATCAAAAAAGGAAACTGTAAGACTCCAGGGCTGGGCTGTAATTCCTGCCAGTTATTTATTTGATGGCCTAGGTCTTCCTGTCACCTTCTCTGCTGTTTGTTTAACTGTAAACAGTCTACCATGTATAGGGTATTGAAGTTTGAAGAGTTTATTTCTATTACAAATCTTTGCTTTCATGTGCTCCTAGCTTTCCCAAGGGAGGGGAAACCCTAATTAATGTTGTGCTCTCCTGAGCTGATGAATTCCCCATTCTTCAAAAGCACTTTAGTTATTTATTTGTGTATTTAAACTAAAGCTGCAGCAGAAATTGGTGACTGTGGCTGGAAAACATTCTAATAAAATATGAATGTTTTGAAGTAATTCAATAGTAATGATGCATAACAACAGGGTCACTAAACCCATACAGTCTGTCTCACTGAAGAAAGGAAGGGCTGGGCAAGTCCTTAAGGGGCAAAGCCAGATCAACCACACCTGAGTGCATCCACAAAAAGGATATGAGGGGCTTACCTTGCCCCTAGGGAGGGAGAGTATGTTGGTGAGGGGGTTCAGCTGTGCTGCTGGTGCTGTCTGAAAGCTCTTCTAGATGCAGGTACTCTCATTTGTAGCCTTTCTTTCTTTCTTTCTTTTTTGCAACTGTGTGAACTATTTAATCTTTCGCTCTTCTGAAATTTGTGGAAAAGGGTGTTGTTTGTGTGTGTTTTTTCTTTTCATGTCTAGAATGTCTTCAGGAGAAGATTTTAACTTGAGTGGTTTCTACACCTGGTGAATTGGTCTGCCTGTTTATATTCCCTCAAGGGGCACCTAAGAGATTTTGCTTTGAGAGAGCAGCCTCAAAGAATGCTGATAAATGGTATAACTGTTTTCTTTGTACTTCTTTTTCCTCCTCCTCTTCCTTCCCAGTCATGCATGTGCTGTAGTTATGCTTGGAGTTGCAGGGGCCTTGTAAGGTCTAGTATTCAGATTGTGCCATGTTTCTGGCTCCTCTCTGAAGAGCGGTAGTAAAGGAAATATTGAAGGGGGTTTTGTTTCCTTTGCTTTCAACAAACCATGACAATTTCTTGAGCCGTTTGTGCAGGCCTTGCATACAGGCACCAGTCTGAATAAATATATTGCTGAGAAGATAAACTGAATGGGTAGGCTGTTGGCCATATGCCAAAAGTTTTCATTAAGTTCTCAAATGAATGGAGTCATTAAAAAAACCTCCAGAAAAATCTCTTTATTTTGTATGTGGAGATCACCTGCTGGGAGGCAGGGGAATAAAAATGTACAAGCTTATAATTAACAAGCAAAAAAGCGAAGGATGTTTTCAACTGCGTGGCTTTGTAAATAGTGAAGTGAGACTGATGGCCTCGCTAACAAGGGCTCATATACAACAGTAATTCAAATTAAAAAGTTTGAATTGATGTTCCCCTCTCTTAATTCAGACATGAGGTATAAATACAGGAGGAACATATAATTCAGAATCTCGCATTCATGGAAACATAAGTGTATTAGTTGGGTTTTTTAGTTTGCAAAGGTCACTTGCCTGGAAGTCTTAAAATCAGTGAGATAAAAGCTGCTTTCCATAACAGGTTCCTCTAAAATCTACTGTATTTCTGCAGAAGATCTGCAATTTCTGTCCCCCCCATCCCAGAGATTCTGCCAGAATGCCCACAGGCAGCAGACTGTAAGACTTCAAAGGCCTTTTCTGTAATGGTCAAACTTAACTGCAGACTCTACAACAGTGGTCAAGGACACCATTCCCACAGATTTAACTGGGCTCTGTTGCCATTCAGGAGACCAGCTGCCCAGCCCCAGCATAAATTAAATGGCCTTAATGAACCAAGATGGGTATTTCCAAAGGCTGGCCCAGTTGACTCCTGTTGTGTTTAGAAAAATCTAGGTCATCATGAAAGAGAGGCAAAGGAAGACAACATGTGATTCTGAGAGAGGTTTTTAATCGCTCCCTTTCAAAAAACTGAACTACAGTCCCTAAATCTTGGGAACAGACAGGAGACATCTCGTTGCCCCTGTTCAGGCCCAGCAAGGTTTCTGAGCTGCTGTTGCATTTCCTGACCCAGCTTCTCATCAACAGAGCTTGATTTGAGCAGTGATTTGCCAAACATGCTGATCTGGATTACTCGCCTTACTTTAAGAAGTACATTACACTTATTTCCACGTATTCCATATATTATGATTTCAAGATGAAAACGGATCTGGGTAGTTTATTTGTGTTTTCACGTGCAACGAAGTTACCAAGCAATCATAGCATAAAAGCACTGTTGTAAGTGATGTGGTTACTTGTGGCTTCTATGAAATCATTTCTTTTGATCATCAATGCAGATCAAATAAATAAATAGAAAAAACAGGCACTGCTGTTCTAAGTTTTCTTAGCACCTACTTTACATTACTAGCATAAAGCATACCCGATTTTGCACATAGGCTTTAATAGCAAAGGGTTTTTTTTTTCATGTTTTCAGTTTCAAATGGATGGCTAAATGGTATTTCTCTTCAGTACTGTCAACAGCCTAGTCAGAAGAAACATCTGTCTTGCGAAACCTTTCTTGATGTCAGCTTAGCTTTCTTGGTGATTTACCTTCTTATGTAGTGGTGTTCTTTAATAACAAAATCCCTTCTGTAAGTTTCATTTGCTTTTCCTTTTGGTGGGAAGTAATATTTTGAAATATTTTTTTTACAGTCAAGTACTGACATTTGCAAAGGTTTTCTCTGGGCAGGCCTGGTGAGTTGGGTGTTGATCTGGGAGATGGTTTGACAATCGGCCTAGCCGTTAAGCAGCTCTAAGAACATAAGAACATAACTTCCTGTTGCTGTCCCCTTTTGTTGTGGAGAGTATTTTAATTGCAGTGGAAAGAATTGCTCTGTGTGATTAGGAGTAATCTTTTATTGTCACTATTTGGATAGCCTGGTGAAACACTTATGTCTGGTGTAACCAGCGCTCTTCCCAAAGAACCTGTTACTTGCCATGAATGCGTCTCCCCATGGGTTCAGTGGGGTGCTGACCTGGATTGATGCTTCTAAGGGCTTTTTTTAACAAATAATTTTGTAAAGTATTATAGTATTTTTATCTTGCTGCAGTTAGGGACACTATAAAGCAATATTCAGAAATGGTATCTCAATATTATTTTGAATCTTTTAATTCTGTGGGTTTCTTTCTTTTCCTCAAGACTATTTTACATAAAAAGCTAGTCAGCATCCCTTATCCCAGGCTTCTCAGATTTTGAGTTGGGGATCTCTTGGACTTCAAAAATGTTAGAAAACAGGCATCTGTGGTGCTTACAGCTCTGGAACAGAGGCTGAGAGTAAATACCTTTTTTTTTGGTGGAAAAACTGAACTGCTGCCAATCAAGGGTAGGGAAAATGTTTGAAGGTAGCTGAATGCAACATAGCTGCATTTCTAAAAAGTTTGATAAACAGTGCCCAACAATCTTCAGAGAGCTGCTGAGATATGTCATGCCCCAAAAAAAAAAAAAACACAACCCCAAACCAAGCAAAACCTAAAAAAAAAAAAAAAAAAGCTTCAAAAGAAAAAAAAAAGCTCCAAAAAAAATCTGCTACCAGTGTCTGGCTAAAACTTGTTCTAACTTGGAAATATTTAACTAAGTCAATGATAAGTTAATTACTTTTAATTTTTTTATAGCTCCCTTGAGCTGCTCTGAGGAAGCTTTTCCCATTGCCTCTCTAAAAGGAAGCCCTTCTGACTGGGTCTAACAGTAAGCCGTTAACTTCTCAGAGCTGTGATTTATCTACAGCCATGCCAGAGCCCTCACCAGAGGGCGGTGAAAGCTGTGACAGTGGGCAGCACATGTGCTTGGTGTGCAGACTGGTGGTGGGAAGGGAAGCCAGCGTAGTAGTTCTGACCTTATTTACAGCTTCACTGATGGAACATGAACAGTGGAAAGTAAGAATAGACAAAAATGCCTATTAAGGAGAAAAAAGTATTTTACTACTTTTCCAAAGTCTTTAAGTAGCCTTGGCATTACCCTTACACCTTTTCCTCTGTACAAGAACATTATCATAAAAACGTTGAACCAAAGTTATTCCTTTTATCCTTTCATATTCCTAACTTAATGCTTGTTAAGCATTCACTTGAAATTCATCTTGAAACACAAAGTACCTATACATGTTTTAGTGCTGTGGAGATTTTTTCTTTTTCTTTGGAGAGAGAAGTCACATCAATATCTTACCATGTTAGCAATACTAGACTTCTGTGGGACTTACTCTGGAAAGCGTAGAGCCAGCTGCTCCTATATGGTCCAAGTGTGATACGGATCTTGGTGTGAAGATGATGCCTATGTATTTTGTATATTACTTCCAGGATAAATTAAAAACAACAGCTTCACTTTTTTTAAAATCTTTATTACAGGGTCACAGGCTAAGATAAAAGGTTACACAGGAAAACAGTTTGGGCTTTTGTCATGCCTGTTTTATTTCTAGCCACTAAATATGAGTTTCTACTTCTCTACAAAATATTATCAGTTTGCCATTTAAAAAAAAAAAAACAACCACAAAAAACAAGAAAATCCAAACCACCCTTTCAAACCCTTCAGCTCTCCATGCTTTTAGTACTCACTGAAAAGCAAAAAACTTCATGTACCTGTGCTTGAGTAAGACTTCTCCATCAGAAGTATTACAGTCTGTAGGTACTGCACAAGGCATAAGTTTGTTACTGCCTCCTGAAGCTCTTCATTAGAGGAAGAGCAACCTTTTCTTGTCCTTTCTTCCAGAGCAGTAGCACCACAGGTGGCACAGTAAAACTTCTCCCCACACCATAGTTAGTATTTTAAATAGTTATTACTTTTAAAAGTGCTAAATCAAGACAGGCTAAATTTTCATTCAAATAGTCAAAAGTAAAAGACAGTATGATAAAAGGTATACTACACATATGGGAAGTACTCGGAGGGGTGTGCACGATGGTCTCTCAACCACAAATTTCAGGACATCAGCATCTGGGAAACAGTGCTGCATGTTTACTCACTAATTTCTTTCACAAAGTTTTCAGCTAGGTTTTGCAATGCTAATTTATTTTCTTCTTGGTTAATAAATTACTTTTTTGAAAAAGCTGCCCTCAAACTTGAAACATTACTACTTTATCCTATGCTAACACAAAGATGAAAATATGCATTCAGAAGATGAGGTCATGCTGCATTAAATTTAAGGCACTTGTATTAACCCAAGTTAAAGTGCTTTATGTATCCAAACTTGTCACTGCACCTCAACCTGAACTGAGACTTGGTCTTTTTAACGTGCCTGCAGCAAATACAGTGGTCTGGCCTTTATTCAAGAAAGTAAGTTGACAAAACAAAGTACAAAGACCAGGCTCTCACAACAACAACAAAACAGCCAGTAAAACATCCTGTAGAGAAAATACAGGTAAATTTAAATCTTGTCACAAACCAGATGCAAGTTACCTCGTGGCTGCAAATAACTCTCCCTGTAGTAGAAAGAAACTCCTCCACATGGAAAGGTAATCTACCAACCACCACTACCAGCTGTCAGGGGCTTTTGAATGACAACTGGAGTATGTAGTCTATGTCAAAAACGGCAGAGGAGCAACTTTTGGCTTCTCACATAATAAATAGGATTAAACTTTGGCTGTGCCAAGACTGGAGGGCTGAATTTCTACTGAACTATCTACAGGGCCCTGTGAATTCTAAATGTCTTGTTTAGCAAGAGAATTACTTGGGTAGCAGGGCACTGCATTATGTAGCATGAATGTAATTTAGTTAATTGCAGCACCTAGACAGGTAAGCGAGGCTATCTTCTGAAAAATGAGGATGAAGAATGTGAGAAGTGACTTCTTTCATTGTCTTCTAGTAGTGCTTCTTGGCTGAAGGTTTGTAAGACACCAGAAGACCAAAGGAAGCATATCCAAATAAAAGTGTCTGAATGAACCAGTGAAACTGAATTGCCGGGTCGGTGATTCCTTTAGATCTGTAACATTAACAAAAGTATTAGATATGTAAAAAAAACTTATGGTCTTGCAGACTACACTGTGATACTTACAAAGTAAGGTTAGATATTTCTACCCAACATTGATACACATCAGACTTGATTAGAACATTTGAACTTAGCATCATTAATTTCAACCTACTGAGACTTATTTCCTATACTAACTTAACATACTAGTTCTTGTGATTTTAGTGGATTTTAAGCTATCTACAGAACAAAGGTTCTTTCAGAGATTTCATGCATACAATTTCCTCAATAATGTATAAATTGAAATCTCAGTCTATGCTATTTGAAATTACTTATCCTAGAAGTTTATGTGCAAAGAACCAATAAATTAGAGTAGCTTAATACTAATCGTAACAGACAAGTCTACAGTTACTGAAGGTAAACTGTATGCTAGTGGGGCAAAGAGGCCCAACAGTTGCTGTGAGATGCAGGATGGAAAAGCACTGTTACCTGAATTTGTGGCTAGAAAAATACAGGTACGGGGGCTGAAGACACCTGGCTTGATTTAGGGAGCAGAGACATTCCTGTCAGTTAGTTCTAAATTAGCATATGTGAATTTTTGTGTATATTACAGAAAATGTCATTTTTTCCTCTGCTTCATTGTTGTTGAGGAATATTTTTCTCTGAATATTGAGTAGAATGAGTATAAACATGATAGCAAACCAACAGTTTTCACATTTTCAGTGAACAGTATCAAGCATGTGTGCTCCAACTCGGTGGTTTACAAGGGAGCTCCCTCTACTGACATATGCTAGAACAGTTCAGCTGATAATTGTTTCCATAGCGTCTTACATCTACAAAATGATTGTGTAGCAAGTGTTGATTAATGCAACGTTTATCAATGCTCATTCTTAAATTGTCTTACCAGCTGTGACAACCTTTCTTTTACAATCCCAGCTGCTGTGTTTCCAAATGAGTGCAGAATCTGGAAAACTAGGGCTTAAGAAATGTACCTGCTTACGTAAAGCAAGCCAGCTTGAATAGACCACATGCAGAAATACAGGCCAACAGCCAATGACAGTACTACTACTGATTAACAAATTTCTATCTGCTTCCTTGCTAGTTCTTCCTCACACCTCCTTTGTGATGTTCATAAGAGACATCACTTTTACATGAGTAAAATGTATATGGTGTTTGGTGCTCACAGTAAAATACAACTGTTTAGTAATCTACAGAAGTATGCCTGAAGAGATGATGATGATGGGCAGGCAATCTATGCTCTCTTTCTTGCGTGCTTTAACGCTTACATTGTAAAAACTTCATTACTTAACTTGATTACAGTACACCCATTTGGTACATTCACTGTCAATCAAGTTCACTCATACTTAAAAATCGCCTTAAGTCTATATACCTATTCATCTACAGAATAAAAGTTAAAACTTTAACTGTAAAACTACATAATTTAAAACTGGAGACTGGTTAAAAAATTTATTACTAACTTCCATTGTGAAGGCAGAAAATGTTCATCCATATTCTATTATCTCCAGAGCCACCTTAAATAGCTTTCCATGGAACAAAATCCCTTTGCCTCCAACAGATGTTACTTGAGAAGGCTGTGACAGACAGCCATGAACTCAACTAAATGAAGTAGAAACCCACCATTTTTACAATGGCAAACAGACAGGCCATCTACTTGGTAGAGCATGAAAACCAATATCTACACTCTTCTGAATTCTTACAAATAAAATTCAAATGAATAGAAAAATGATGTGTTTGGATGCCATACCTTTCCAATTAAATTGATATCCTAACCTAAGACTTAATTGGCCTTACTTTTATAGTCTGATTAGTCCGAGTGTTTTATCCCACAAACATGCAGACACAAGTAGATCTTAAATAGTTCCAAATGGAAGTGTCCTATTGTATTCTCACAATATAGATGCAATAATTTAAGCAAGAAATTAGCAGTTTCAAAATTCTGATGAAGTAAGATCTGATGAAGCTATAATACCTGAATTTATCAGACTATTTCTACACTATCTATTGTTCCCTCTGCTTCCTAAAGCACAATGTTACTCAGTGAACAGGGAGTTCCGAGGCAGACAGACAAGCTCTGGCAAACCTTGCTGCTCCCAGTTCTGCAAGCTGCCATCCCTTGCTTTTGCCACCCTGTACAATAGTAACCACTAGCAGAATATGAAGTAACCCCTTGTAGAGGATAGCAAACTATCACTGCAGCAAGAATTTTATCAGTATCCTCTGAAGTAATGGTGCTGCTGAGAACCACCAAAATCAGTCTGTAGCTTATGTCACCTGTATCAAAAGTCATTTTCAGAGAATCTATGTTGGGGAGGGAACAACTTACTGGCATAACTTAACACCGTAGAAGGCTTCTACTATGTGAATCAACCAGGATACCCAGAACCTAACAAAAAGAAAATATGTTTTATTTTGTTGAAAATTAGGGAGAAGGTTGTTGTACCCAGATGCATTATGCAGAGAATATAAAACTGGAAGCACAGAAATGACATCTCAGTTTACCCTAGAAAGCGAGGCATGTTTCTTATCTTAGAAACAAAACATGAGTAGTCTTAAAAGAAGCTAAAGTCCAATGACAAAATTAGAGGAACTTTAGCTCATGCAGTGTGCCTGGACCTGCCATCTCAAGGATCCACTGCATGTTTCCAAAACTTCCAGCAGTTAGATTAAACCCAAAAGCCAAATACATACTGAAAGTAGTATAAGTTATTCTTACAAGTGTGCAAAATCTTTTTTTCTTACACATGTATTTTTAGTGGTCCTAATGAGTTACTGAAGTTTTTATAGGTTTAGTTCTACAAAAAAAACATGTACAGAATCAGAATATATGACTTGATTAGTCAAACGATTCACAAATTTTCATATAGAAACTTTTTTTTGAAAAAGAAGTTACCCTAGATATTCAGTTAGAATCAATTCAATACCTTGCTAAAGCAAAAGATGCTCTGAGCAAAGATGAAGGTTTATATTCTACATGATGCATGGTAAACAACAAAATCTTGCTAACTTCCTGTCTTTACAGGAAGTCAGCAAGTGAGAGATCTGGCTACAGGGAAGTGTTTTTCAGTTCTTGTTAATTCAAATAAGAAAAACTAAGTTTTGTAACCCACAAAAACCTAGCACTAAGCAGTTTCTTCAGGTTACTTCTCATGTGGACAGGATCAAGGTAAGTTAGTAGCAGGGTAGAAAATGTTAATTGAAGCTGGGGGGGGGGGGGAGTGAAGGGGATGGGGACAACATGAGACAGATGGGGACACAAAAACAAAACAACCCAAACAAAACCAAAACCAAAAAACTCCAACAGAGAGAATTAGATGACTCACATAATTTGATAAGAGAACCACTTTGAGGAGGTGTTACAAAAATAAATTTACATATGGACTAATAACTGTCTTCCAAAGTAGTATCTTATTTTTTTCCCTTTCTCACTATAACAACACAGATGCTAAATTCTAAGTTGAATTTTTAAACTTTTGTACTGGTTTAGCCTGTCTAGTTTTCTACATACTTATTACCTCACACCCTTCATTTTAATGAGCTTGAAAGGAGAGCTCTTTAAATGTAATTAAGAACTGGGTTACAGGAAAGCTTGTTAACACAGACTAAGCAGGAGAGTCAGAGAGAAGCAACACGAGAGATATAAAATAATTGTACAGTGAAATATAACTTACCCATAGCATACCCACTTGTGGTGGTTTTCCACTAAATAATTAAGGAAGGTACCAAATATTCCCAAATAACTATATGGTATAGTTGAAGGCCAAAGCGTTACCCACTTGGAAAAAAAAAAAATAATAAAATTAGTTAGCTTGCTTCAAGGCAGAATTGCTATCAATTTAACCTTCAAATTAGTTTTCTTTTTGCTGTCCCCTGTCCCCCGTGTCTGTCAAACATGGTTTAGAGCTTGTCTCTTCACAGTTTTTCAACTCTTTCATTCCATTAGCCTTGTCCAAGACCCATATTCCTCATCAACAAGACCACTAGCCTTCTAAAGCACACTTACTTAAGAAGGCTCAAGCCTATGAAATTTGTTTTCCTTGACATACAAGATAACAAAGTACTAAGTTTAAGGTTGCTGTCTGCGTATCAAGAAAGAGTGTATCTACATATTAAACAGAATTTAAGTTGTAAGTTCATTATCTTTAACACAGTAGCAGCAAAAACTACATTGTCTCTGTCCTGAAGAAGTTAATCTGATGCAACTGACCTGAAGAAATCAATGACTAGACTAAGGAGGAATAACTACTTATCTGTAACCAAGGGATCAGTCTTTCTTCTTTTTTCCCTTAAAAATGTCAGATTTTGTTTTATTTTAAACAGGCCACAGAAGATAATTGCGCACGGAGCCCAAGACCAAAGGTGCCTGCAGTGTTTGGGCATCTTTCCTGTCACCGAGTTGTCCGCAGTACTTATCACTGTCTATGTTTATTTTAACAAGGAGAAGCAGGGAGTCAGGGAGCTGTGCACTTTACAGTCCATTGGGGATGTAAGGTAAACACTAAACTGGGCCAAATGCTCACACTGGTTTCTACTTCTTCTGGTATCAATGCCGTAGTTTCTAACTATATCTAAATTTGGCTACGCCGAGGATGTGGCAAGATGATGGATTTAAAGACGGAATCTGCTTAAAGCTCAGTCTGCTTCTTGAAACAATCCAAAAGCTGTTTTGTGAACTGTTTGGCTTGCTTTGACCGTCATTTCTTCTGTGGTGGCTCTTATGTGTAGAAAATCCACGCAAATAGATGAAAAACTACATGTGGAAGCCGATGGATGATCTTCGTAAACTTGTCTGATATATCAAAACTGTCACTAATTTCCCCACTTCAGTAACCTGACTTACCTTAGCTGAAGTCCATTTTTAGAAATTAAGGCAACACAGTGACTGAACTAGTCTGCTTTCCAACATTACCAGTTAATATAGTCTGTAACTAAAGCCATCACTTGTAAATGTACCTTACTTATTGATATAACCACCGCCTGTACTAGAATTTTACTGACACACAACTCTGCTTCAATTTTGTGACTGCAGAAGACACTTTCACAGGCTACCTGCGATGCAAACCTGCGCAAGCTCCAGCCCTTGGGAGGCTGTAATCATGCCCAGGGATGTTGTACGCCTTCAGTGCCACAGCCTGCTTTGCTTGGGAACCCAATTCAGTGGTTTGGGTTTTCATTTGGGGGGGGGGGGGGGGGGGGGTGGTTTGGTTGGTTGATTTTTTTTGTTTTGTTTCTTTTCTTCGGGGTTTTTTGTTTTGGTTTTTTTTTTTTTAGTTGGTTGGTTGGGTTTTTTTTTCCTCTGAACTTCCTTCATGGATTTGTTCAGCTACCTCACAAGCCGACCTGGCCAATACAGCATTTTTAATTGCCTTTTTCGCCCGGTTTATTTTGGGAAGTGACGTTTCCACGGACCCCGGCACCACTCCGGAAGCCGGTTCCACAAGCCCGGCGGCTCTGAGCTACCTGCGAGTCCCGCCGAGGACCGGGGCAGCACCAAGCCCACGGAGGTCCCCACCCGCTCCCCGAGTTTTGCAGCTCCGGCTCCGAGACCCTCCCCCCCCCAGGGCGCTGCTGCAGGCCCGCGCGCCCCGCCCGCGGGGTCCCGCCGCCCCGCGCCCACCCGCCGCTCCTTACGCCGAGGACGATCATGCCGAAGGTGATGGCGATCATCCAGATGAGCCGGGAGCGCTGGAAGTGGCAGCTGCCATCGCGGAGCCGCTCCGCGCCCGCCGCCGCCATCATGCCAACCGCCGCTCTGCGCCCCGCGCGCCGCCGCCGCTAAGGCCGCCGGGCGGGGGGCGGGGCCGCCGGTGCCACCGGGAGTGGCGGGGGGGGGGGGGTGGCCTCGCCCACACCTGGGCGCGGCGGGGGGGGGGGGGCGGGCCGGCCGCGCCCGCGGGTGAACGGTGCCGTAGTTGGAGCGAGAGTGCTCTCTTGCGGCGCAAACGGTGGCGAAGGGCGGGAAAAAGGAGGTCGCAAGGTGTCTTGCGAGGGCTGCCCGCCGGCCCCGGGAAGGAGCTGAGGGCTGGCTGTGCGCCAGGCATCATCACTGACGCAGCCCACCCTTGCGCATCAGCGGTAGTTCTCGCTACTGGGCTGAAATGGACAGGTGATAACATTTCTGTCGCTGAGCAGTTCAGTCTTGTTATTTCGAATGCTACGTCGTACCTTCCCTTTTGAAAACTACCGATTTAAAGCGTGTTAAATCCAGCGTTTTCCAATCTGTGCCCTTTTGGGACGTTGGACCCGGTGACGAGCTTGTCCAAAGGGGTCACTAGTGCCGTGGGGAAGGTGCCCACAGGCAAATGTGTGTGGGTGGAGGGTGTCTTACGCGTCCATTTGCGCTTTGCTACCTGCTTGTTTGCCAGCGTAGAGGGTGAACACAGTGAGAAATGTTGACTGTGCTGTTCTCTCTCCTTGCCTGAAGGCTAAATACACTGCTTTTAAAACTATGTGTTAATGACGTGCCTGTAAAACTGTTTTCTTCAACAAGTTGCGCAGCAAACCCTGACATTTCCCCAGCATGAGCACTGTGTCACAGAAGAGGGTCGCTACAGGGGGGACGGACTTTGGATGTGTTTGGAATAGTTCTGTTCTGCCCTGAGACTTCGCTTTCCCTGTTTTTGTACTCCAACCCCAGCTATTTCTGTCCAAAGCACAGTGCTTTTCTGCTGCGGTGTTCTGTGGAGATTGCGGGAGATTTTGGTAAGAAATTCCTGCAGTGGTAGAACTGTTGCTGGGAGGCTATCTACACAAACCGTGGAGGCTGGCTACATGGCACGCCGTCTGCCTGGCAGAGTTGCCTGGCTGGCTTTACAGATGCAGGGGGAAAAGTGTGTGTGGTTCCACCTACAGCGTCTTGGTGTCCGGCAGAAATTTCTAAAATTCAACCTATTTTTTTTTTGGAGCGCATTATGTAATTTCTTGCTCGTTATAAACTTCTATGCAAATAGTTTTGCCGTGCCTGTAAAACCACGTCCAAAGGTTGTGCCGAGATCCTGAGCCGGCCCGAGCTTTGCGACAGGGGTGCCTGGGGCTGCCCCCCACACCGGCAACAACAGCGAGGGGCACACTAAGAGCAGGTTCATGAGAATGAAGAAAGTATTCGTGAGAATGAGAAGTAAAGAAAGAAGCAGCCCACCTGCTGGAAGGATGGCTGCGCTGCTGCGCGGAGTGGGCGGGAGAGGGCGGTCAAGTACGCGGGAGAGCGAGGGGTGCTGCGGTCTCGGCCGTGGGGGGTGTGACCCGCACCTGGGGACGGGCACCCAAACCCGCCCCCTTCCTGCTGCCCCTCGGGGGACACACACGCACGTTTCAGCTCCCTGTGCAGCTCTGTGGACGTTTGCTTCGTTAGACTTGGCTTTGGTGGCCAAAAGCAGCCGGGTGAGGTCAGAGATGATGTCACGTTACGCTTTCTGCCACACTCCGGTGCAGACTGCCCACACTGTGTCATCCCGGGCAGGGGAGGGGTAGCTGGCTTACTCTTCTTTCTCCTTCACCAACAATAATTGATCTGTCTTTTTATTAACGTGAAGTTATATTCTTCCTGGGCAGGATAGACCACGGTCACAAAACCAGCTAGCCCAGCATGTGGCCCACCAGAAAGGGCCGGTCTTGCTGTGTGACAGCAGCCCCCACGCGCTGCAGGCCTTGCGTCTACCAGCCCCTTGCGTCTCCACAGCCTTGGACTTGAAAGTGAAAGGGTTAATGAAGACAAGTCCCTGCTCAGACCTTTTGTGGGGGTGGACGTTCAGTTGTTTCATTTCCAATCCAGGGCAGTGTCTTGGACCTGACTTTTTTAAAAATGCTTTTTCTCTTGACAGAGAGAGGAGTCTCTGGAGTACTTAAGCAGCTGAATATGGTTCCAGCTTTCATAATTTACAGCCAGAAGTCCCGTAGCATTATCTAGTCAGGGTAGCACAGGCCGTTAAATATTACCTTGTTTCTCTGAATTGAGCTCAGTAACTTGCACTTACTTAAAGCATACTTTTAAGGGGCATTTAATCTTACTTGGAAGACGTCAAAAGACAGAGTATCCACTGCTTTCAATGATTACTCTTTCTTATGTTTCTTAGGTGTTGTTAATATGTCCCTAACAACTAATTTTGAGGGAGTCATTTTCCAGAGTCTAGCTGAAAAGCTTGCTCTATTACATTTTGCAAAATGCTTGCATTCATGCATTCGTATTTTGGACCAATAAGTTAGCTACCTTTCCTCAACACTGGAAATATTATTTGTCAGTGAATTGCATTTATTGACAAGTATAATATAAATTAGAAACTACAAAACCCAAACAGTGCTATGTGAATTACTGAAAAAAATGCAGAACCAATTTACCTTGCCAAGTTTACAGAAAATAAAACTATTTCTACCTGCTTTACTTCACCATAATTCTGAGACTTCTACATTTTTCCCTTCCTTTTCTCTAAATCAGTACCACAAAGTGACTGGATGAAGACCTGGCATGCTGTCATGAGTTGGCAATTCTCAGTAACATGCTACACACCAAAGTATCACAAAGGCTGAGTGCAGGCAGCCAGCTCGGGCAGCTCTGCCCCTGCTTCATAGAAGCCCGATGTAGATTTAAGGTTTGGAACATGTATCTGTTGTGACAGGATTAACACAGCTCCATGTTCTTCCTCAGCCCTTTCCTATGCTGGAGAACATGCAGGCATTGGTAGCTAGCAATCAAGCACAGCTGCCATCGTGATGACAGGGCTCTGTAAGCATTTGAAGAAGATGAGCTAATCTAGATACAACCTGCTTCAGGCTGCACAGATTGCTAAATGGAGTCTATTTTTATAGTAGTCAAGGCCATAGAAAAGAGAGGGAAAGCATAATCTTAAAAACAAGTTGGAAAGAAAAAAAAAGCATCTCCCCTCATAATTGCATACAAACATATTTTCTTTCACTTGCATCACTTGGTTTAGAATTCCGATTAGGTTGGTAGTTAAAGCCACATGTACTTTTTAAGAATCTAAGTCCGAAAGAGGTGTTTGCTATGAGATCAACAGGTAAGGTTACTAACTACACAGTAACAGGAAAATAGGACCTATGATCCTCTTCGAGATTTCAAAGACAACTACATTAGTTTCAAAAAAAGTTTTTTCACTGAAGTTGTGTCCATAGGGTTCTGAGGTCTCCACGGTGACTGGGTATGCAAACGGAGGTGGGTTAGGTCTGCTGAAAACAATGAAATGGACCTGTGCCTTCTTCCTGCCTAATCCCTAAAACATAGCTGGCTCATTTCACAGACTGTTTATATCAGTATATCATCCTCTTAGATTTTCAAATAGTAAAGTTGCTGCTGTACCTAGTAGTGGAGGAAACTTGTTCCCCCTTCAGTTTAGAAACATTTGCTATCTCTAACTTAGAGATATTGACTATCTTACTTTCATCGGGAAGTACAAAGGGTATTTGCCAGGTACTCTGCCTCTTTTGTTTGGTGTTCTTGGTAGATGCCAGAGACTAGATAGAGACATGTTAGCTCTTCTGTGTCTTTTAAAATTCTTTTTTTTTTTTTTTTTTTTTTTTTTTAAAGAAAGGGGGGTGGAGGATTAGTCTAATTCAGACCAAGCTTTATGGCATGAGTCATCTTACTGGAGTCTGTGATGTGACTTGTGTAAACAGCAACTTTCTGGATAACTAAGGATTAAGGGATTGGGCTTCTTTTAGGAAGTTATTTGGAAGTGAACTGCAGCCAACTTTAAACTGGATTTGAAACTGGTATAAAAGAGAAAGAGATGAGATTCATTCAGTGAAAGTTACCTAAGAAGATGGAATTATCAAGAAAACATTTTTTAATCATGGGTTAAATGACACAATGCTGTAAAGAAACTGCCTCAAGCAATGCCTGATTCCTGGTGGAACCAGTAAACATGTGACTGTTCCTCTGTCTTTTTTAATTTTTAACGGGGAGTTAAAAATTATTTCACTTTAATTTTTTAGTGGTAAGACTAGAGAAGCTAGGGAAGAGTATGGACTTTAAAAATATTTCATGTTGCAGTTTGACAAGCATTACAGTTTCGAGGCTAATGGTCGAGGTTTTCATCAGATTCTCATATTTACAAAAAAAATGTAAAAAGTAATGAGATGTGCATAAAAAGAAACAATGGGGTATAGTAATTCTGCTTGTTGTAATGAATATCGTTTGTGAACTGGAAGTAAATAAACCTTTGCACATACCTCTGCTTTTTCTTCTCATAGGTAAGTGGATTCCTTGGATGTCTGATAAAACTAATTCTCTGCTATCACATTTTTAACGCAATTGGGAGCCTAATTCAAGTCTTGTAAATTGTCAGCTCTAAAGGTTCCAGACAAATACTTTATTCTTTGCAAAAATTAAGAACTAAGTAATGCCTATAAAGGTATAAATTTCTTGTTGATTTTACTACAAGTTCAGTTTGTGCATTGTAGAGATTAATTTATGTCAGAGTTCTGTATGCTCATCCTAACACTATCACTGTGGGGTTTTTTTCTGTTATTAAAAAGGAACAGAAAGGTGAAACAGACTTTATCATGATGTGCTTTACCCAGTATTGCATTAATAAGCCCTTCTAAATAGACAGCCAGAGCTCACCAGTTTGAAGTCCAGATTGCACAGAGAGCTTCAGTTTTGATCACAGTTGTGCCTTTTACAGTTCTGTATTTGTTTTTACTGATGTCTGCTGAAAGTCAATATCTTTAGTCCTACTAAAAACATTTTGTGAACATCTCTGATGGCTTTATTTTATTGTGTGAGGTAGCTTTAAAAAATTAAAGAGTAACACACAACAACCTTTT